TATTAAAAAAAAGCTTATACTAAACCTAATACTAATTTTTAAGTTATATTATATAGCTTTTTATTTTTATAAAATATACTTAGTAATTTTTAATTATAATATTTTATAATATATAATAGTTTAATACTATATTAGCTTAAATATTATAAAATACTTATTATATTAAAAAAACTTATTTTTAAATACTAAACTTAAAAAATTATATAAAATTAAGTTTAAAAATTAATTTATTTATATTTTCTTAAATTTATAGCTAAATTTTACTAATTACTTTATTTATTTTACTATTATTTATTTTTTTAATAGCTATATTTTTAAAATAAAAATTATAATACTTTATAGCTTTATTAATAATAAGTTCTTTAAATCTAATAAGTTTTTTTAATATATATATTAATAAAAATATTAAAATAAATTTAAAAGTATTATTTTTTAACTTATTAATAATTTAACTTATTTACTATATATTAAGCTTTATTTAATACTTAATATCTTACTTTTTAAAGTACTTAATATACTATTTTTTAAAAAAAAGCACTATATTTTATAAACCCAATTATAGCTTATTATTAAATACATTTAAATTTATATACTTTTAATACCCTTTTAATTTATAATATAATTTTAAAAATATATATTAGCTAAACTATAAGTATAAATTATTTATAAGCTATTTTAAAAAGCTATTAAAAAGTATATTAGTATTTACTATTAATATAATTAAATTAAACTTATAATAAAAGGAAAAAAGGTTTATTAAAAATAGTATAATATACTAAATAATATATATAAAAAAAGTAATTAAAAGCTTACTAAATAAATTTCTTATTTTATAAATCTTTAGTACTTTTAGCTAAAAAAAAAATAAGTTAGTAAACTAAGCTTATAATTATAAAGCACTATAAATTATATAGCAAGTAATAAAGTATAGATAAAAGCGTTATTATTTTAACTAAATTTGCTTTAGCAGAAAGTAAGCCTTTAAAGCGTAATTTATAAGTGCTCCGGTGAGTATATACTTTCCTATAGTAGCTTCCAGCAGCTTACACGCACGCTAAATTTGCAATATAAAATCTTTACTAAGAATAGCAGAATACATTGAGCAATATGCTATTATCATATTTCTGGAGGCCGAGATTCATGTCATCACCGTGCAAACTTGTGGAGATGCGGCTTCACAATACTATCGAGGGCATCGCTGGCCTATTCTTCATCCCGCGACAGCGTGTGCGGTCTGGTTGGTCCTCACGCGCATGTATACGGCTTGTTTGGTCTGGCCTTGTTTCACCAAAATTGTGGAAGAGTGGAATTTGAAGTTATATGAAAAAGACAATATACTAGAATATGCTCATCTGGGAACCGAGTAATCCATGCCTCCTTCGATGCAGACGTAACCACGCGTTCCACGCGGTAGGCTTTCTTGTCCATATTGCTGCGTGCCATAATCGCTTATGCGCAAAGCTGGTCAGACGGCAGGGCGAATACCGTAATATCTGCGATGATCGCTTGTGACAGTTCGCGAATACGCGCGAGCTATGGGGAAACATAGCTTTAGTATTCCCGAAACTTATCCATTCTTTACGAAGGAGAGGTGGAGTCAAGGACGGAAAGGATTTGAATAGAGTATAGCCGACCGAATTGTGGCCATGATTGTGCAATTGGTTTTGACCCCTGCAGGGGCTCCCAGACAACTGTGTGGGCCTTCGCGCCGCCTGTAATCTAACCACCCAATCACCTTCAGCCCCCGTTTCATTGGAGGGTTGGCCATCTGCTCGTGTAGTACTGTTTGCATTGTAAGACCCGTTTCACTCCTTTCAGATTGATGAGGCTCTCTTCATATATCAGCATGGCGAGCCAGGGGCAACGTTGTCTCCTCTATCGGTTGTAGACTGTTTGCTGTGGGTTATTGTCGCTTCCTTTCAATTCGTTCATTTCTATTGCATCGTTTCAGAGAAAGTCATTCGTTCAACAACTGAATTCAATTCATTCCCCAGAGGCAATATGAGGTCCATCAGCGTTGCGACCGCATTGCTTAGCAGTCTAGCAGCACGTGCTGTAAACGCTGCAACGGTCAGCGTCTCTGGCGCTGCAGAAGGATTTGCGGCCGGCGTGACAGGAGGCGGTGATGCAACACCTGTCTATCCTGCCGACATAGAAGAACTCAAGACTTACCTGACATCCGACGAGCCACAGGTTGTTGTGCTTGATAAAACTTTCAACTTCCTGGGCAGTGAAGGCACCAAGACCGAGACGGGTTGTGCGCCTTACACTACAGCTGCTGGGTGCCAGCAAGCGATTGATGCGACAGGGACATGGTGCAGTTCTGATGTTCCCTCCGTCGAGGTTACGTATGATGTTGCTGCCACCGAGGGAATCGAGCTTGGCTCGAACAAGACCATTATAGGCGTTGAGGACAAGGGAGTCATCATTGGCAAGGGGTTCCGAATGACCAACGGTGCATCCAACATCAGTGAGTGACTTCTCAGACTGCCATCCTCCGGACGAATGAAAATCATGTCCGGATTCTCATGGCCTATTTGAAGACTCTATATTTCTGTTTGGCTCTTCAAGCACATATCTTGCGTTGTTTACTAATCTTGGCCAACCACACAGTTATCCAGAATATTATGATTACGGACCTGTAAGTATACCACAGATCAGCATCTCCTTTGGCAAATATTTTCGTCTCATTCAACATCTAATTCAGGAACCCTCAATATGTCTGGGGCGGTGATGCTCTCACATTCTCAGGCGCAGACCTCATCTGGGTCGACCATGTCACAACACAATACTTGGGCCGCCAGCACTACGTCTTCGGTCAAACCCCCAGCCATCGGATCACTCTATCCAACAATGATATCAACGGAAACACCAACTACTCCGCTGGCTGTGACACATACCATTACTGGACAATCGAGTTGGTTGGAACGGACGACCAGATCACCTTCAAGAACAACTATGTACACCACACTGCGGGCCGGTCACCTGCTCTGTCTGGCAGCACTCTTTTCCACGCCGTCAACAGCGTTTGTAAGTGGCTTCCCATTCAAAGCGTCTCATTGATTCATTGATCTCGAGCATCCGCTGATCCTGAAATGTGAAGGGGAGGACAACAACGGCCATGCCATTGAGGGCGATACGAATGGCCAGGGCTTGTTTGAGGGTTGCGTTTTCAAAGACGTGAAGCAAACTGTGGTGGATGATTTCAAGGGGCACTTGTTTTCAGTTGGCTCGACTTCTGTAAGTGAACTTGAAAAAATGACACCCTCCCCTCCCACACTCCAAATGAGCAGTCCAGCGAGCCACAAGGCCAACTACAGGCCTGGTAATATTTGCTTCCGCCCCCACACATCTGGATCAGGAGATCTATTCTATCTTAAGCAAGTACTAACCATCGGCGCTGCAGGCTACGAGGAACTATTGCAAGCTCTACCTCGGCCGCAACTGCGTTGAGAACACTATCACAAACTCCAGCGCCTTCTCCAAGGACGACACCAGCTTCTTCTCCAACTTCACTGGCCTGACCGTTGCATCTGCGGCAGCGCCCGCGACAATTCAGGATACTGTGCCAAGCAGTGCTGGCTTTGGAAAGCTGAACTAATTCTTCAGACAATGTGTCTGGGTTCTATCCGGTGCCAGACTCGTTCTCGTGGATATGTGTAAATATTGGACAAGTATCGCAGGCGACCACACTTTTTCTTAATCTTGTAAATATTACCCCGGAACCGGCTGTGATACCCGGGTACATCTCTGTATAATCACCTTGGAAGATCTCCATAGAGAAAACAGCATCTTGGGGCTTCTACAACTAGCTATTCTTGCAATTCGGGTGTCCTAACATGACATGCCTATCATGCCAATAATGTAGTTGATTCAAGCCAGCGCCAGGACCTCATCTATCCGCGTGGTGAAATGCGCACGTTCACCCACTGGAAACGAAAGACCTACTGAGGCTACTCTCTGGCTCCAATCCCAAACACACAATGTCACCGTATCATACAATGCCAGTGGAAGGTTTACGAAGTTGTTCGGCCCACCGCTAGATATCAGGTCATAACCATGCTCAATATTATCTCTTTGAGCATGGTCAATTGCGCTACGGTGTTTGCCAATTCGGGTATGATACCCAACCCGTGAGTATCGGCATGACACTGATGGCGCACCATCATCCTCGTCTCTGTCATCCAAGCTTCGCTTACAATGGGCTGCCACCTATGAGGGGCTTTGTTACAAGCAATCGTATGACAGAATCATTACTAGTGTATCCATGGAAATGGGAAAGGACACTAAAACATTGACCACTGAAATCGCCCACGTAGATTCATGACGGGCGACGCCGCCCCTCCGGAGTGATAACTTGATTTGTTACCAGCGTGGAGGGTCGCTCCAGGACCATGAGGGCTGGACCACCCAGCTTAACAAAGGGTCCCTGAGACGGTGCTTACTTTGGAAGAGTCGAGAACTGGGCCGTTGCAATAAGTCAGGCACACACATGTGCCGCGCGAAGACGATTCTAGGTCTCTACCGTTCGTTCGGTATGAGCTATTAGACGCCAGTCGCGGAGCCCACGCCCCCGACATGTGGACTATGGAGTGCTCGAGCACGCGGTCCGCCCGCTGACGGCGCCTACTGCTATCTCATCAATGGGAATCGAAGTCTAGGCCACACGACGAACACGCCTCTCTTCCGGCGCTAGTGTCATAGTCTTTGAGGAGCAGCCAGTTTGCGTGCGCTAAGGGCTCCCGGGCACGCGAACGAAGTAGCATGGCGATGTAGCTAATCCTGTCATGTAGGACCAGCTAGAGATTCCTTTGTGAAGTCAAGCGCCTCCAGATAACTCCAAGCACTCAGTGCACCGGCACTTTGCAAACACACTGGATGGGCATTCAACATCGATACAAATATGGCAGGCCTTCGGCCCTCATTCGTGCCATCGTGGGTTTATGTTCCATCTTGCCCCAAACACTGAGCCAGCATCCATCCGAAGCAGCACAGCCAAAATGTTCTCACTCAATTCTCTCCTCGTTACCCTCACCCTCACCACCGCCACCTTCTCTTCCCCACTATCTATCCCAAGCATATCCAGTGTGGTCTCATCATCAGGCTCTTCAGGCGGCGACTTCTTAAGTGACACACAGAATGGGCTTTCCGGGGCCTGCAAGCCCCTAACCATCATCTTTGCCCGCGGCTCCGGCGAGACTGGCAACGTCGGCACCGCCACAGGCCCGCCATTCTTCCAGGCGGTTGCCAAGCGTGTTGGTGCCGCAAACGTTGCGGTGCAAGGCGTGGAATACGGAGCTGCCTTCTTGAGTGTGTTGAGTGGTGGTGATGCAGCTGGCAGTGCCAAGATGTAAGCACACCTGCTGTCGGAATTTATCATGCCGTTTCGACAACAATTTGCTAACGGGAAGCGATGATCAGGGCTCAATTAGCTCAGCAGGCATTTTCACAATGCCCTAACACCAAGGTCATCTTGTCAGGCTACAGCCAGGGTGGTCAACTTGTCCACAACGCCGCCAAATTAATGCCCGCGGACATCGCAGGCAAGATTGCTGGAGCTGTAACATTCGGTGACCCAGGTAAATACATCCTCTCTCGTTCTTACATACCCCTGGTAAAGTGCAAAGTTTGCTGACCGTGATATTCTCAAGACAACGGCCAATCCTTTACCAATATCCCCGCGGCCAACTGCAAGATATACTGCAACCCCTTTGACAACATCTGCCAGAATGGGTACCTTATCACAGCGTTCCACTACTCGTACTCGACGCAATATGTACCCTCGGCCGCAGACTTTGTGGCATCAAAGATGTGAGAGAGCGAGCAGCTCGTCTGGCTATAGCAGATTAGAGTTTTGTTCTCGGGCTGGATCTTGTCGTAGAGTTGACAGGGTCAAGCATAAAATTGGATATAGTAAACATGGTGTCAACAAGACTATACGCTTCAGAGACACTGGCACATTGAAATGAGACATCCGAAAAAGACTGGCATTGGGTCTATCCCTGGCTGTGTAGCCGAACTCCATCTGGAATGCATGTCCAACCCAATCGAGCGTAGGGGTTCTGAACAAGAAAAACATATGTTGAAGCCGTTTCAGTCTCCAGTTGCATACACATTCCTCATCCTCTCCGATCCACGCCTTTGTGTTATGGTATTTAGTTCCACGCGACCCTGGCATAATCAACCCGGCTCCAGAACGCCTCGCTTTTGCCTTCCGCATCTACAGCATTGAGTCGTCTCCATCATTATCATATCCGTCATCCCCATCAGATTATCTTGAGCCAGCTGTTCGCTTCTTCACATGTAGTGCCTCCGGTTCGGAGCGCACACGTCTCTTGTGGACGCTTGTCTTGCCTGTCGCAGTCGTTGTCGCAGCCGTCGGTTTGAGGTTGTGAATAGGCTCGAAAAAGGAAAACCCCAAGCCCTCGAATATATGGCCAGAGGTTCCTCAACCCCAGCCAAGCATCTCGAGTGTGCTCTTCGTTTCGAGGCCGCTTAATCCTGCAACGCCCAACGCGCGGACTTGGGTGCCCCGTCTCAGGCGTTGCAGTCCCACAGCAACCTTCCAGCCATCCTCCTCGCCGATGACAAACATGTATCTTTTGCCTTCCTGGTCTCGGATCGTCGCTCGGAGGAGATGGAGCCCCTTGGCCTTCCAATCCCCAGTCTGTGCCGTGGTGTTAGTCACGCGGGTCGAGCCAGACGTAACGCTGGAGGCGTCGTCGTTGTAGCTCGCAGAGCCAGGTAAATTCGAAGCAGCAAACTTGGACGCGCAGTCGCCAAGACGGCAGGAGTCCTTGCACGAGCGCAGCACATCGGCGAGGTAGGCATCCGCGTCGTCGCCTGATAGCGACTTTGGCGCACCCCTCTCAGCAGCACGCAGCCTGGCCCCTCCTCCTACCACCTTGGCGAAGAAAGCAGTACTGATATTGTTCGCACTCAAAGCAGGGTTGGGTGAGGACTTCGAACCGTTCGGGGATGGAGAATTCGCAGCAATCGCACCAGTCAAAAAGTGCACGGGACACCATACCTCTACCATCTTGAGGGTCCATGCCTTGACGTCCCATTCGCGCTGCGCGACGCCGCGAATGTCGTCGTCGATGAACAGGCCCTCTGTTGTTATCCGGAGGATGAGGCCATCCGTCACGGTGCCGACCCCAGAGATGAGCTGGGATGCCGGCGTCTTGGCGAACTGGTTCATGAAGCAGTAGACTGCTTTGATGACGATCTTGTCAGGGTCTTTGGTCGAGTAGGGCCCACGGACAGACGGCGGTGGCGACGTACGCGCCGTCGACTGGGACGGAGCCCATGAGGACTCGGACATATCAGACTTGGAGAGGCGGCGAGCTGGCCGCTTCGGCTGGTCGTATGGCCGGTAAGAGTAGGCGTCAGAGTCATCGCCAACAAAGGTCTTCGCTGTGGGGGGAGGGGGTTTCTTAGTAGGTGAGGATGGCGTGGGCGGTTGGCCGTTTGGCCAGGGGCTCGTCTTCTCGCCAACGCCTGAGTAGGCATAAGAAGATGTGCTGCGGCCCTGACTGGCCGCATCCTCTCTCCGCTTTCTATCCTCTTCGATCTTCTTGCGTCGCTCTTCTCGTTCCCTTGCGAGGCGCTCTCTTAGCTCCTTTTCACGGACTTCTCTTTGCTCTTTCTCCTTGCGTTCCTTGGCTTCCTTATCCTTGGCCTCCTTCTCTCTTGCGGCCTGCTCCTCAGCCAGCTTGTTCTTGGCTTCCTGTTCGCGACGTGTCCTCTCGGCTTCGCGTTGCGCTCGCTCGCGTGCTTCCTTCTCCCTGAGCTCCTTCAGCCTCTGAGCGGCCTCGGCCCGGCGCTTCTCCTCGGCCTCTTTGGCCTTGCGCTCCTCCTCCTTGCGGCGGACCTCGTCCCTTGCCTTCTGCCACGAATTCTTTGGTGTTTCTGCCTGTGGTTTAGTTGTGCTGGGTTGAGGGGGTGGTTGGGGCGGTCGCTGATACGAGCCGTTGGACTGATTCGCACTGGGTTTCGACCCACCTGGTGGAGGCGGGGGGGAGTGGGCATCTGGAGGTGGGCCTGTGCTGGGGGGAGATCCGTGATGAGCGCTGTGGGGGCTGGATCCAGCACTACTGAAGCCGCCACCACCGGGCATGGATGATCCGCCGGAATAGAAACCACCTCCCCCTCCCGCTCCCTCGCGTCCTGGGCTGTCTGTCGATTGGCGGCCGAGGGACCAGGCCCCGAGACCGACTGCTATGACGAGCAGCAGCATGCCGGCGTTGCCCATGCCCTGGAAGTTTGCCCACCATGCCTGGAACGCAGGCGCCATGCTCTGGCCAATGACGACCATGATGAGGGCGGAGGCAAAGCCGGCGATGAAGCTGTTGGTATTTGTCCGCAGTGAGGGCAGGTAGAGGAAGCCTGAGCCAGCCGAGTGCTCGGGTATGATGAAGACATCATACTTGCCGGGCGGCAGGCCTGACCCAGAACCAGATGTCGTCTTTGGCGACTCGCCGTGGGGCGGCGGTGGCGGCGGCGGCGGCGGGCCACTCATCTTGGTTGAGAATTCGAAGATGGATCGTGGGAAATCGAGAAACGGTGCAAGACAGCCGACCTGGGCCTTGACAGGCAGCCTGAGACCAGGGCAGTACTATGTTGGTGGTGGTTGGAATCAAAGTCTAGCGGTATGTCGGAGAAGCCATTGGGAAGCAGACGCTCGAGTCGCTGAAAAGTGCTATAGGCAGAGGACAAAGGTCAGTAAACCATCAAAGCAGTTGTTCACGGCCAAGATTCCGCATGCTACCGCGAGGGCCAACAGCTTGGAGTGCAAGCAAAACATGCGGTTGGGCAGTTGGTGAGCGCAGCTGAGGTGGCACTGACTCACCAGGAAAGTTGTGAAGCAGAAACAAACAAACGCCGGCCGATGCAGAGACGGAGAAGACCCTTGGGAGGGTGTCGAAGAGCTGACCAGGAGCACGCTGGCACCACAAGCCGGGCAGGGCAGGGCAGCAACTGGCAGAGGTGGAAGCCGAAGCTAGAAGCCGCTAAAAGAAATGAGGATGGGGTAGACCTGGGAAGACGTTCGGTAGTGCCCTTCCTTGGGTTGAGGTTTAGTCGAGGATGAGGTCGAAGACGAGGTATGGGTCGAGGTATAGGTCAAGGTCAAGGTTAAGGTCGAGCCAGGCTCGACTGGAGGGTGGAGTTTGGATGGACGACGGGAAGGCACAGGCAGAAGAGGGGAGGACCCTGTGTGGAGCTGGCACGGCGGGAATCGATCGGTCAGTGCAGCAGTCCCCCAGAATTGATGCTTGTGTTTTCCCAGGGTTGTCTTTTTTGGTGTGTTGTGTTGTGTGGTTTTCTGGAGTGGTGTGCTGTCCAGTTGCATCTGGCCTCTGCACCCCCCGCCCAGGCTGGCTGGGTGGTTCGGAAGTCTTTGTGTTTACTTGGGAGAGCCAAAAGATTTCGTGGAGGGGCGCAGGGGTCCCCACCCAGCAGGGGTTCCTAGGCAGGTCTGGGCACTATCACCAGGGATTCCTAGCGCCCGTCTGTCTTGTCGCGTCTCTTTCTCTGTCTCTCTTGTTCAATTTGGCCTCTCTATTCTCTGTACACATCTAATTTTCCCCTCCAAAAAAATACCTGACAGTTGGAGATGGTGTCTGTTTCATCGAAATGATCAGCCAGAAGGGAATAAGAAGTATATAGAGGAGTGGGGGTTCGGGCGGGCAGGAGCTGGGATGGATGGCTGAGTAACGGAGGTACCTCTCTACCAGAGATTTACACGTAAAAGGCAGATTGGGTTCGTCCCCAGCCTCCCCGTTTCGTTTGTTCGCCGCCATTGCTGCCACTGCCACTGCCACCTCACCCTCCACGGCCACTATCTCGTACGGTACGGTACGGATCAAGTCGCTGTCTCCTGTTGTACATACTGTTCTAACAGTATACGTATCAGTCTGCCTGGCAGCCTGGGTCATGCATCGGCAACGCCTCCCGCGGGAATCGTCCCCACTGTGACGGGCTGCATAGGCAGTACAGATGTACATTGCATCTTCCAATCCAAGATGAAGACCAATCTTGCGTGGGGTTGCAGTCGCTACCGCAAGCCGACCTGTCATGCCCCGTCAGTCATGCCCAGCCTGTGAACGTAAAAGAATCGAGGGGGCGAAAGAGCACGACCATAATTACCAGACAGATGGACAACGAGAGAGAGACAGAGGGGGCGACACAAGACCGCCCAAAATGGCCATCAGGCGTCTATTGAAATCTGGTGCTGCGTGTCCAGTCCAATCCAACCAAAACCCAATCAAAACCCAATCAAACCAATCCAATCGGGTGGAAAAGAGAATAACACACAGTTCATTGCCTTGTCTGTCACCTGCAGAGTGTCCGTATGTGTAATGTACTAACTAACGGTGGGCAATTAGATAGTCAGTGTGGTAGCATCTGCTGTGCGTTCCGCTCTCTAGCGCGCAGCGTTGACGGAGCAACACGGTGACACAACCACGGCTCGCTCCTTCCAACGGTTTGTCTGCCAGTCTGCTCTGTCGTTCTTGCCCGTTCAACCAGGATCATCCCCCGACCAATCGCTTAGCTCGATGACGTACCGTTTTGCCATGTGCAGGTACGTACCCTTTTCCCTTTCCATGTGGACGAGTTGGGCACCCGCGATATAAACTGGCCAACCACACACCTACGATCCACTCAAGGTAGAACAGCCAGCCAGCCACCTGCGAGTTTCGGCTCGCCTTGCCCTGGGCTTGACTCCCGAGTCCTGAAGAACCGAATGCTGCCGTCGTTTGCTTCGTCACGACCCCAAAACGCAATCGAGGCAAATCACAGAGGCTCCAGAGACGTGGGAGAACATTTGACTTCTGCGTCTTGGCAGTGCACCTCTGCTCCTGTTACATCCCGCCCTATTCTATAGCACCTAACGCCATGTACAGTAGCAGCCGTTGGAGAGTAGCGGGCGGGAGGGCTGCATGTTGGTTGACCGACCCGGCGGCATGTCTCAATCTGTCTGCATCGCTGCATCGCTGCATCCCGGCATGGGCTGGTTGTCCGCACAGACATATGATCTGTCAGACCCGCGAGACCCGCTTCCTTTTGTACAGTAATCTGATAAGCTCGCGTGAGAGTACTACTGTTTGGTAAGCATCGAGACTGGTAAGGGGTAAGGCAGGCGACAGTCCTCCCCGTTGGTACATTGCGACGTACTGGTGCAAGGCCTTGACAGATTGGTCAGGACATCCTCGGATGCACTTGGTTATGGGGCAACATAACACCAAGGGAGGAGGAGCACGAGGTTGGGGATAGACACATGCACACACATGAGGCAGCTGCAGGACACAGCAGGATAACGGGGCAATGGACCCTCATAGGGAGACATGTCGCGTCTTACAAAGGTCAGCCTTCAATAGAAATAGATGCCAATTGCTTGGTACGCGGTATACTGTCCGTCTTCGAGAGACTCCGTGCTGGAGACAAGAGTGGTAGGAACCCTTCTCGACACTCAATTGCTCCATGGTGAATCAACCACACCAGCTCGTCCAAACTCCGTACTCCTGATCTTGCATCGCATTTATTATCATCAGAAGATGCCACTGCTCACAATCATGGCGCCGCGTGTTGCGTCGTATAATAAGAACGGGCATGGGCACGAGCTTCGACGCCCACCGTGGCCCTTCTTTACTTGCCCAGCTTCCGCGCCTTGCTGTTGGCCACCTTCATCTTGGCCTCGAGTCGGTCCGCATCCCGGTCCATCTGGTCCAGCATCTCGTTCTGCACCTCGACCTCGCCCTTGATCGCGAGGCCCATCTCCTTCTGGCGCCGGATGATCTTGGCCAGCTCCTCGACGTCCAGGTCCTGCTCCTGCATCTGCTGCCGCTGGAGCTGCAGCACGCCCGAGTTGTCCAGCTCCCGCGTCCTCTCCGTCTCCGGCAGCGGCGCCCCCAGCACCCGGCCGCCCGCCCTCGCCCTCGACGACGACTCCCCGGCGCCGGACAGCAGCGTGGCCTTGTCGCCGGTGCTCGGCGCGCCCTCCCTCGCGCCCCGCGCCGAGGCGAGGCTCGAGCTCAGCTTCTCCAGCCCGTCCCTCTCGGCCCGCGCCGCAGCCAGCAGGTCCCTCCTGCGCCGCAGCTCGCCCTCGCCCAGCCTCTTCTCCTCGCCCATGCTCCTCAGCCCGCCCTCCAGCGCCGTCAGCAGGCTACCTGCCCGCACCAGGGCCCTCTTGGCCGACGCGCCGGCCTCCACTGCCGCTGTCGAGCTTTGGTTCGACCCGTGGCCAGGGCCGCCCGAGTCGGACGCGGCGTCCCTGCGGGCGAGCTGCAGCCTCGCCTCGTGCAGGTGGCCCTTCATCTCGCGGTGCAGGTCCGTCCATGTCGTAAGGTCGTTCGCCGCGGCGGCATTGGCACCGTGCAGGTTTATGGCCGGCACCCTCCCCTCGACGCCGATGCCGCTGGAGCTGGCGGCACTACCGCCGCTCGTGGACGGCAGGTTGAGGAAGTGCCGCCACGCCTGTGTGTCGCGCCATCGCCGGTCGGGCGACTCCGCGATGGCGCGGAGATAGGTTTCCAGCCCGCGGCGGCGGTCTTCGGTGAGCTCGGGCGAGGTAAGGGTCGACTTGATCCAGTGCTTCGCCGGCAGCGGTTGCGGTGGGGCGGCTCCGGCGACCTTGGTCAGCTCGTCGTGTAGTGCTGCAAACTCGGAGTAACGTTTTTGTACGACGAAGGAGCGCAGAGGGAGGCGTAGGGTGATGTTGTACTGGGTGAATGGCTTGGAGTCGGGCGGAGAGTTGACGGATGTTGTTGGGATGGATATCTCGACGGGCGGTGCCATATTCGTGTGTCTAGTAGCTTGGCAGGTGGGAGAGAGGTGGATGGCCAAGGCAAGCAGACGGGTGTAGAGTCGGCTGCAGCGGTTTAAGATGGGGGAGGGGTGTGGTTCGGCAAGGGAGTCGGGGTGTTCGAAGCTGTCCCGAGAGGAGAGGCAAGATGCGATGTTGTCTGTCGAGAGGCGTCGGGAGTATGGTCTCGTCGGGAAGCCAGAGGTCTTCCGAGGCTGGGAAGACCTGGCTGTGGCAGTGGCAACGAGTGCGTGCGTGTGTGTGTGCCAATTAGCTAGGGCGCAGCAGCGGTCAACGCACCCTGCGAGCACAGAGCCAGTGTCGAGGAGAGAATGAGAGTTGTACGGATTAGATATTAGATGCACAAGGCAGCAGCAAAAAAGTTGTCTGGTGATGTGATGAACCAGAAATGACGGGCGCCTGCTGCTGGCCCAGCAACTCGTCCTCCTCACACCTCGCCCGTCTCAAGCGCGGCAAGGTTTGGAGACGGTCGCAAAGTCAAGGCTGGCACCTGGATGGAGCTTGTCATGCGCTGTCGATTGCGGTCGCCTTCTCCACAATGACCGCATTTGGGGGAGCACGACCACCTGCCAACGCAACCAGTGGAGCTGACCTGTCCGTGGGTACTGTATGTCTGGCTGACCAGTCTCTTGTATCCAGATTTCCAAGACAGAAGCGCCGTGAACCTGTGAACCCCTATTTTTCTGTTGTTGAAAATTCTATCACTCAACAACGCAACACAGCGGTGAGAATCGAACACACACACACACAGAGAGAGAGAGAGAGAGAGGGTTGAGATAAGGCAAGGGCATAAACATTCGAAGGCTCTTCTTGGCAGCATGTAGCATCAGGGACCAGTTCACGACCCCACCTAAAAAAGATAGATCGTTCAGGGTAGTGTGATCAGTTGCGCGACGCGGTGGTGCACCCAAAACCCGTCGCAGCATCACTGTCGCACCCACCGAGCGAGCACCCAATACACACAAGGAGTCAAGGGGTCTCATTGTTTATTCTCTCTTGTTCTCTCTATCATGGTGGAGTTTCCCACGGCATGTTTCCCGGTCAAGACAACCCAAATTTGTATGCGACTGCACCGGAGCTGGACCCCTTCAGATTGAAGCAGCAGCACCAGTAGTAGCCTGAGCCTGTAGATGAACGCAGTGCACCCTCGAAAGCCATGAAGCTCCTCCTCCATCCCCAGAGCACATTATAGCTTCCACCGTCGAAGCCCTAAGCGTCCCCAGCTGCCCGTTGCGTTGATCACTGCCGATCAAAACGTCTCCTGATCCTCGCCCTCGCCCTCGGGAATCTCAAAGCCCTCTTCTGTCGAGTACAGGATGGTCTGGATGTTCTTGATCAAGCCCTCCTCCTTGTCCAGCTCGGGATCTTCCTCGCATGCCTGCTGAACGAGAAGCTCTATGTCCCTCAGCTTCGAGAAGTAGAAGTCGCGCTCGCGCTCGAGGCCCACCACCGTCTCCTTGAGCTGGGTGTTCTCCGCCTGCAGCGCCGCCGAGGCCGGGGCTGCCTTGGCACCCAGGCGAGGTCCGCCCGAGGGTGTCGTGCCCCCAACGGCCCGTCGTGCCCCTCCGCCGGCGGCCGCGGCCCGCGGTGCTGCACCGGAACCGCCGGCTGACATGCCCTGTCCTTTCCGCCGGCTGACAGCATCGTAGTCGCCGCCGGGGTAGTATTGGTCCCAGAATCGCTTCGTCCACTGCAGGAACTCGAGGTTGTCCTGCATCTTGCACTTCACCAGGGCCTCGACGGGGACCGATTTGTCAACCTGGTGCTTGGCAAACGAGTCTGGACCGAGGTGTGTGTCATGTCAGCTGAAGCACTGGACTGGTCTGGACTGAGCCGGCAGCAGATGGCCTGCGGGTGTGGCACTAGGCCGGGTTGTACTGACTCTGCAAGATCTTGAAGTTCTGAATGTAGGCATATTCGGTGTTCACATTGAACTTGACGCGAGCCATGGGGATATCGCCGAAGATGCTGTCGAACACCTGGCAAAGAGCAGCCCTGGGGCGAGAAACCATCGGTTAGCTTTCACGTCTGCCCCTCGTGCTTATCGTGATGCGGTGCAGAAACGCGTCGGACGTATCGGCACGGAGGAAGGCCGATGGTTGCCTGGGAGCCGGGCTGTACCCACCCTGTACCACATTGCTCAACCTTTGTCATGTTGAGCTGGAGGAGGCTGTTCAGCCATGCGATGAGTTCTTGACTGTGATGTTGTAGGAAGCGTCAGTTGTCCGTTTCCATGACAAAGTGACCGCGGGCCCGACCGACGCCAGCACAACAGCGTAAACACGACGTGGTGCTGGCAGTCGCGTGGCCAGAGGGGAGCGAGCGTTATGCTGACCGTGATTCACCCATTTTGTTCTTGTGTACTTCGAGGTCTGGGAGCAAAAGATCGATCGATCGTGCGGGCGCTTGGAGGCTGTCGCGAAGCAGCGGCGCAGGGTGCGAGAATGGGATGACGTTGGGTATCTCTCGAAGGAAATTTAGAAGTGGGGGTTTTGGAGGGGAGAAAGTAGAAAGTGAAGAGAGCTGCTTGGATCAGGCACACAACAAATCAATGTCTAGGCTGCAACGGATGAGGGGCGGGTGAGGTGAGGGAGAGCTAGCAGGAGGCAGAAGCAGAAGCTGATGCTGATTGCAGATGCAAGTTGCGGATGCTGAGGGACAGACTGACAGAATGACAGACAGACAGAGGAAACAAGGACGGCGTCGCCGGCGTGGATCTGGCTCTGGCAAGAAAACGCAATCTGGAAAACAGCCCGTGGTCGCCCAATCAACACAGGCAAACAACACAGAGGGGGACCATTTGGAGCTCGGAGGGGAGCGGCCCAACCAGAAGCGACAGAATCAGGTGCCCATGTGGGGGCCCACCTAATCGGGTAGGCGGGAGTACCTAAGTACCTAAACACCTAGGGACAGTACACTGTACCAAAACCCTGACCCAGAACCCTGACCCGTTTGCGTCCAACGCCCAAACCGACATCACCACCCTCACATCCATCCACCGTCGGTGACAACTTTTTGTTCTTATTTTTGCCCCCCTCTCTTTTTCCTTTATTTGACAGATGATAAGAGAGGCCCAATGATCACAGAAGTCATCTGTAACATTTCTCTCTCCTAGTCCAAAGTAGTGGTGGTCCGCTGCTTTCACAAAGTCCAGAGCCCATCTTGGTGACCAGCTGCAAGCTCCTCAAAATCGAAAAGGCTGACTTTCACCTACGAAACAACCCGCTTTCCAGCATCCAGTGAAAAGCAAGAACGGATCGGTTTAGGATTGTGCTCCACGGCTCCGTTTGCCTCACAATTGCTCTTGCACTAAAAACTCAGCTGTCGTCTGGCCCATTTACAGCAGAAAGAGCGTGAGCCTCCCCCCCCCCAAAAAAAGACCCCTACTTGCCGTTCCTGGGGACACTCAGCTGATTTCTGCCTGTAAAAGGCGGAGTGACTCGAGTGACCGCTGGGCTTCATCTCAGTCTCACCACCGAAACCATCCTTTTACGACCACTACTGCCAACAGAACAACTCACATCGAAGAGCAGCTACGGGGTATGAAACAAGAGCTGCCACGCTTCACTTGGACTTGACAAATACACAATACACGAGTGAGGCAGATGTGCTCAAACTGAGGATTCCAAGATGTCGAGTCCAGATTCCATTATGGACGGCCTCGCGGACCTGAAGCTGGACCGAAAACCTGGTGCGGACGGAGACGGGGCACAACAAGGAGACGTTGGAGACCCAGCAAGGATGCCGCTCAGCGCTCGAGAGTTCGTAATCGGTGCCTCTTGTGCCTTGAACATGCTGCAGGTACACGCCGAAGTCGGTCCAGACTGTCAGGAATTGTCTTGTAATGCGAAGTCGTATCGCGCGACCAGTAGAGCTGAAAAGCTGAGCAGTTCCGCGGAGGCGATGTGCCGTTCCACCGGCGAAGTTTTGGCTATGTGCCTCGAAATGGGCAATGCCTACATGGCAGTAAGCACACAGGATGAGAGCTTTGGTGAAAAAGTCCCCATCGGAGAGGTTCGTTTAGGCGCAGACGAGGGCGTGCTGCGGCCGACGAGTCAAAATACCAAGGAGTACGTGAAATATGTTTTCATGATATTACACCGCCGGTGTCTTCAAGCTAATCACATTGTTATCAGGATGATGAAATCGCTTGCTGAGGAGGATGATATCCCCAACATTCTCAGCAAGATCGGGCATGGGTGGCCCTATAGTCGCGCACTAGAAATCGCAATCATTCAGATGACTCAGGCGGAGCACGGCATGAGCCACGAACTGATACCGCTTGAGAAACACATTGAAGTACTACAGCGGTTTCTCCAGATGCTGCTCGAAAGTGACATAACCCAAAAATACTCGGTGGGTGCCGAATGTGTCAGATACTGCCTCGCCTCAAGCTTCAAGCGTTTTCGACGCTCAGTCATCAGTTCAACCGTGGAAAAGAAGAGTACGGCCGATTGTTAGCGACAGTTGGAGGGCTTGCGACTTGATACCTTTACCACAGAGCTCAGCAGCGGAGAGTGGACAGAATTGAAGCGCGAGGTCGGGAAAATACAGGCCAGACTCCTTTTCATATCGAACTTCACTACGGCATGGATGCACCCAGTCGTGACCGTCTTACACAAGGTTGAGGTAAAAGTTTTCTGGGACGACAATCATCTCATCGACAATCAACTCATCCTCGAGCTCAGAGAAATTTCGCATGGATTGAGTAAAGGCTTGATCAGCATCCCAGCCGTCGGCTCCGAACGAAGGGGCGAGTACTACAAAGTACACCAGAGTGCAGAAAAAGCCGCATGTCGGGTGCGTGCAGCCGCAGACAAGCTCGAAGGGGGTCTAGCGGTTTGTTGGCGTTTCAAGCACCAAGTTCAAGCATGGTGGGATGATTTGGGCTACAGACAGCAGGAGGACTTCAAGTTCTTCTTGATGCAAAAAGGCAAAGCGGATGCCTCAAAATCCACTACCTATGTGAGGTTCCTGCATCTACTGTTCACATCCTCTAGGGCCGTCCTCTTGCTCTGCATCGAGCGGCTGTCTGCAGTCTTGGATGTAGCCCCTTGGGCTGATAAGATTACCATCAAACCCTATGATCAACTTAGACTGAGGTCGTTGGATGCGTTGCGAGAAGCTTGCATGGTGTGGGACGAGCTCATGCGGCAGAAGACAACGGTGGGCCACTGGGCCAAGCTCGCAAGTACACTTACGAGCGGACAAGATGCAAACATCATTCTGAACGACTGTTCAAGTATCGGCCATTGGTTTCGCACGCACGTGCAAATGAGATTGTCGATGGAACGACTCAAGTTGATACAACGCGGAAAGCCTTTGGAAGTCGCTGTGATCCACAACGAATCTGATGGAGACATACGCGAGGGACAGGCACACAGGTACGCTGTCCGGGTGTTGAAGTCTTTGGTGGACGAAGCTGCAAGTAGCAGACCGTACGGCTACGGCTTTGAGGCATTCAAGCTCCTGAAGACACTTTTTAGAAAGACAAAAGGTTGTACGGATCCTACATGGTGGCCGGGTCGAAAGCAAGCAGACTTGATGCTGCGAGTCGAGCCTCATTGCGAGGCAATCTTATGTGCGCACTGGGTGTCTCGTCAGGTACGTTATTATCGCCCAACCTGACGGACTTTTCCTTGGGTCCCTATGAGACTGGTTTCTAACATGACAATTAGAATGGGGTCGAAAAGGCGTCGAAGCTACCATTGTTCGGTGGTACTCGACCTCTGTGTGGGTCTTGCACATCCTACATCCGCAACTCGCTGAGACATTTTGATATTGACGAAGATGCATGTGATCGTAGGGTAGCAGGACATCATGATGCGTACTGGACGTGCTGCATGCCCGCTGAGGCGAAGGAAGACGTGGTCCAGGAGGTGGCCGAGGACCTGAAGATGAAGTTACGTGATTGCCTGCACAGATGCGAGGTCTTAGACCTTCTAGATGACTTGCTGCTTGGCTTGGATCACGAGAAACCTGTTGGACAGGATCAATGAAGGAATGGCATGTCAGATGTATCTGGCATATCCCAGCTATACCTTTCGGCGAAGGGAAGGGCGGAGGGAGTTCCCGTGGACAGCACCGGCTTTAATGAATGGATCGACGCTTATAGAGGCGCTACGAGGTCATGGACGAAGGATGGCCCACCCTGCTTCTCGACGCGGCTATGTTGGAGGGATCTTTAGAGTTGCTGATAGCCGCATTAGCATGATGACCTCTAGATGGTTGGGATTTTTGTATTCTATTTTGAGTTCTCTATCCCCTGATTTAAAGCCCGAAGCGCCGTGCGAGTCGAGACTCATAGTATTAGATCTAGTGCCGTCGGCTCTAGATAGATCGTTTAAGGCGCGGCTGCCTGGACTGGGTCCTAGACAGTAGCACTGACAATTGCGGATGGCTCTTGAAGGAGATTAGCCACTGGAGCTTTGCCGAGGCAATAGTTGACTCTGGTCACAAGGTAGACATATGTCGTTTCCATGTTGTTAGCAGTGGATGCTTTTGCTTACATAACCTGACAGAGTGTTTTACATGGTGTTGCCGGGGAAGTTGGCATTCTTCAATTCCGTGAAAGGGTGGCCCAACTGATTGTAGGAACTCCTTCGAATATCAATGGACAAAGCCAGTCTGTTCTAGTAGTTCTGGGATGATCGTGAAGAACTTGAACATATTCTAAGCTAGAACCAAGTTTGTGCGATACCCGTGGCATAATTAGAACATTGAGGATCGGATAGACTGATAGTTCCGTCTTCGGGCTGGATTCTCTTTGATATCTGATCGAGTTATTTCTGGGTGGATGATTAAAACTTCTCTGATTAGTGATGTGTTGAATGACGAAACCCCTAGTGGTAGGCCCGAGCGTGGAGGTGACAGCGAAATTCACTCCGTTGATTCATGTTCACTAATCGATATTTTCAGGGTCGTCGTTGATCACTAAGCTTCCAGATGGTTCTTTGAAAGGACGGACTGCACCTAGCTCTCAGATAGTGATGAGGAGATGATAGATTGAGGTTTCCTCTGCGTAAATAACAAGATATAAATGTCAGGCATCGTGTGTGTCAAATGGACAGGTGCGATCATCGCATCACATCATATATATTGCTCTTACATCATATCTTAGATTAACTCCCTATCGACCTCTACTTTAGAAGAAATTGAGATGGCGGCTAAACCACAGGATCACGAGCGGCCGACCGTCCTCATTACAGGGTAACGCATCATTGTTCCCGACCCTCAACATTTCTGGTGCTTAGCTAAGACCTCTTGGTTCGATGACAGCTGCTCAGCAGGAAGTGCAGGCAATGCTCTCGCGCTGGAGTTCGCAGCCCGAGGCTTTTGCACATTTGCAACCGCTCGCTCAAGAAAAGCTTTGTCTAACTTAGAGGAGAAGGGTATCGAGACTTTCATACTCGATGTCACAAAGCCAGAGAGTATCACTGCATTGAAGGACGAGATAGTGCAGCTTACTGGAGGCACCCTCAATATCCTCTTCAACAATGCGGGCACACGTACGTGTTTCAGAAGACCACATTGATTTTGCAATGGTGTTGATGGCACCAGACGGCAAAGAAGAATACTACTAGTGAACTAATCATGCCACAGTGTACGAAGCACCCGCTATCGAGGCAGACCGAGCACGAGTCCGGAGCCTATTCGACACCAACGTGTTTGGCTTGTTCGACATGGTTACAGCATTCACTCCACTCCTGCTCGCCGCCGTGCCCTTGTCAAAACAGCCCCCCACCATCGTGAACACTGCCTCTGTTCTAGCACGCCTGCCATCTCCTTTCTCCTCGGCCTACAACGCAACCAAGGCAGCAGTTGCCTCATACTCGGACACTCTCAGGCTTGAGGTAGAGCCGCTGGGATTGAAAGTCGTGACATTGTACATGGGCGAGGTTTCGACCCCGCTGATGTCCGCGGACAATATCAATTTCGGCTCGGATAGTATTTATGCCGACGTGGAACACAAAGTCAAGGAGAGGAGTCTGAAACATGAGAAGACAACAATGAGTCCTACTGAGTTCGCACGTCAAGTGGTGCACGCTCTTGATGGCAGCGGGAACAGCTACATCTGGAAAGGTACAAATGCATTTGTGGTTTGGTTCCTGAATGCCGTAGGTGGCAAGAAGGTCTTTGACAGCACGATGAAAAGTGCCGTGGGCTTCAACGATGCCACGTTGAGGAGGAACCTCCACCAAAAGGGCCAAGCTAAGCATGGACAGTCTCTTAAATGAATCTGTGTTAGGTGTAATTAAATGAGTGGTTCAGGCTGGATAGAGACCCTGCCTCGAATTTATTAGGTGATAATCAGTCTTATCGTTCGGATGTTATTCACGGTAATAATATCAAAGTCATGGATTTGGAAATCTAGGTCTCGCGACGGGGAAATTTTAATGACAGGAGGAAACCTGGGGAGTAATGCTGGCTGTGTTTTCACTTCAGTTCGCTAGGATGTAAACTTAGAACATAAACTTGTACAATGTCTTACATGAGCTTAAAGTGTACACCGTTCTGTCTAACCTCAACGAACATACCAGTCTAGTCAGATAATCTCCTCTAGGATGACACATAATGGCATCGCCTGCCACGGGACTGCCTGCCATTGAATAGCCTGTCGCAGATTAACCTGCTAAAGGATCATTCGCAACGGGATAACCTGTTCTAAGGTACTGCCACGGGATCAATTCTCATGGGATAAGTGCCTCGGGATGAACTGCCATAGATTGACCTGTTATGGGACAGACTGCAGTGGGCCGGACAATCTTTTGTATATGTGTAAATGAAGTTTTTTTGCTGGTGCATTGGGGTAGACCCGTTTGTATGCGCTGAAGCCAGGGTTCCCTGCAGGTTGCTGCGGGACCCCAGCGATCGCCTCACCGCCCGGTAGAAAAGTTGCCATGCGCCGCTAGCTACCCTACGGCCTCGACAAGCGATTCCCTTCGGTTTTGCGACACCAAACTCTCCCCATTCTGTTGCTGCAGGTTCCTCGAGTTTGAAACGGTCTATTCGAGTGCAGCTGTCTGACCATGGCGCCTTCCAAGCGCAAGGCTGAGGATGATTTCATCCTCACATTATCCGACAATGAAGACGTACTTGACCTGCCGCCGCAGAAGAAGACGAAAAAGCCCACATCCACCAAGACATCCACAGCCACCGTGACCGACCCCGATGCCGATGGAGACGACGGCGCTCTGGCCTCGGACTTCGATTTCGACGACGACTCAAATTATGTGGCCGAAGACATTGAGGAGTGGACCTTTGACGGAGCAACAAAATCCGTGACAGCGGGCCCGAGACAGGTTCTAGAAAGCATAATACGAAGGAGGACGAGTAAAAAGCAAAGCAAAGGCGACGGCGACACCACACAAGAAGCTGAGACAGACGGAGAGGACAGCGGCGATGCCGACGAGCTTGCCGATGAGCTTGACGACGACGAGGAGATGCTCGCGGAGGATGCTTTTGGCATGGACGTTGACTCCGAAGTAGAGGAGTCGGAAGATGAGGATGGGGTGCTCAAGAGAAATTCTGAAGAAGGCGAGAGCGAGGATGGGGAAGACGACGCCGCATCTGACAACGACTCTGTCGCTACACCAGTCGAGCATCCCGATGACGATGTCGAAGACTCCGATTCCGACGACGACAACGACGAGGATGCCGAAGAGATCGCCAAGAGGGTCGCTTTCTTTGCCCCCGAGGAGAAGGCCAAACCCGGAAAGAAGGACAACGCGGGCTCCTTCATGGCCATGTCACTATCTCGTCCAATTCTTCGGGGCCTTGCAGCCGTGGGGTTCTCCAATCCCACACCCATCCAGGCAAAGGCAATCCCAATCGCGCTTATGGGTAAGGATCTTGTCGGTGGCGCTGCCACAGGTTCGGGAAAGACGGCGGCCTTCATTGTCCCCATCCTGGAGCGACTGCTCTACCGACCAAAGAAGGTCCCGACTACCCGCGTGGTTGTTCTCACGCCGACTCGTGAGCTGGCAATCCAGTGTCATGCTGTGGCTACGAAGCTGGCTAGTTTCACCGACATCACGTTCTGTCTAGCCGTGGGAGGCCTGAGCCTCAAGGTCCAGGAAGCGGAACTGCGGCATCGTCCTGATGTCGTGATTGCCACCCCAGGACGTTTCATCGATCACATGCGCAACTCGGCAAGCTTCACCGTCGAGGGAGTCGAAATCTTGGTCTTGGACGAGGCTGATCGCATGCTCGAGGACGGTTTCGCAAACGAGCTGAACGAGATTCTAGGGGAGATACCCAAATCCCGCCAGTCCATGCTGTTTTCGGCCACCATGAACTCCTCAGTCGACAACCTCATCCGCCTTGGCATGAACAAGCCCGCCCGGATCATGGTAGATTCGCAGAAGACGACAGTCAACACGCTTGTCCAAGAATTCATGCGTCTACGCAACAACGAGCAGCTGCGCCTCGGCTACCTTCTCCATATTTGCACCAAGCTCTACACAAATAAGGCCATTATTTTCTTCTCAAGGAAACAAGAAGCACACCGTGCACGCGTCATCCTGGGCCTCTTGGGGCTGACTGCCAGGGAGCTGCATGGCAACTTGAACCAGACAGAGCGTGTGGCCAACATTGAAGCCTTCCGGACCGGCGAGGTTGCCTTCCTGTTGGCTACCAATCTTGCCTCTCGTGGTCTCGACATCAGGGGCGTGGAAACGGTCATCAACTACGACGCACCAAAAGAAATCGACGTCTACCTACACAGGGTGGGCCGGACGGCCCGTGCTGGACGAAAGGGTACTGCCATCACGCTCGTCGCGGACTCGGACCGCAAGCTCGTCAAGGCAGCCGTTAAAGCAGGCAAAGACCAAGGCACAAAGACCAGAAGTATTACGATCGATATCGTGCACGCGAAGGAGTGGCAGTCCAAGGTGGATGAGCTTGAGGAGGAAGTGGATGAGATCTTGGCGGAGGAGAAGGAGCTGAAGCAACTGCAGCAGGCGGACATGGAAATCCAAAAGGGCGAGAACCTGATCAAGCACGCAGCTGAGATCAAGTCACGGCCCAAGCGGACATGGTTCGAGACGGAGCACGACAAGAAGAAGGCGAAGGAGGCTTCGAAGGGGGCCGCGCCACCCAAGCTAGACGCCTTGAGGGAAAGCCTGAAGAAGAAGCACGCGAACGGCCGGCTGAGCAACAAGGACAAGAAGAAGTTGGATAACAAGGCCGAGAGGCAGAATGGCAGGCTTTGGAAAAAGGGAGCTGCCGAGCGTGCGGGCAAGGGCGCGGTGCTGAACCTGCGGAAGAAGGGCAAGGGGGAAGGAAAATCCAGCCTGAACAAGGTCAAAGACGGACCGGCCTTCAAGGCTGCGGATGCAGGGCCAAAGAATGTGAAGGGCAAGGGAAGGGGGAAGAAGTAGGGTGAAGCGCTTTGGCATTTAGTCTCTACAGGTTGTGGTCGTTGACCACCGTTGACCACCGCAATATCATACCCTCTTGTTGCTCCTCAGGTTCTATGCGCCCTCATCACCACCTGGCCAGATCATGGTCTTTTGTGTGCAGCGTGCCCCCTGGCGGAGGTCACTTGATCCTGTCGCTTGAGTTGTTGAATACTCTTCTGCAGTGAGGCTGTATTCATCGTGGACGAGGCTGCCTTTGTATCGCAATGTAGTCTACTTAGTCTAGATACTACGGTAGATAGATCCATGTGAGCCTCGGGTGCGTATGACTGGCTGACCGTGCCACCCACTATACCAAGCATTAAGCGTCCGCTGCCAGGGGTGATGGACAGGCGCAGACAGGGTGAGCGCTGAGAGCTGCACATGCAGGTGACGTAACGGTTACTGGCACCGGCACTAGGAGCTCCTGCTGACTCCCCCACTGAAACATTTGCATCACCACCCACCCGTTGATATATGCGCATCTTGGTGCCTTTTCCCCATTCCTCGGACCACACAAATGTCCCACAAGCACCACGGGCAGCACCAAGCACCAGCACCTTCAAGGCTGATCGTGTCTTGTCTTTTGGCTGCGGATGCTGGGCCTGGCAGCTGTGCCTTGATCTGACCTGGACTGCTATCGACGGACCTATCCGAGGGCCTGTTCTCAGCATGCTGTAGCCCATCGAGCATTGATCCAATTGATCCACCAGCAGCAGCACCTGATGATACCTTGGTACCGTGCCACACCGTGCCGAGGCTGAGTGATCCAGGCAGCCAGCTAGCTCCCAATAATCTCCCCGAGGCGACACAAGACGAACGACCCTCGCAGTACAACACCCCCGGCGGACATTGCGCATAAAAGAGAGCCCCAAGCACTGCCCTACGCGCTCCCCGCCGACGAGGCTGCAGGGCACACAGTCGGCCAAAGTGGCGCCCTTCAGGCCTTTCCGACGCTTGTTCGGCCAACCCCATCCTCACCACAAGCAGAGCCTGCTGCGCTTTCTCTTCCCCCACGCCGTGCGCGAGCGATACCGAGAGCGCCTGCTCGACTTCCGCCTAGACACCCTTCCATACTACAAGCACCGCCTGCAGTCGCGCATCTACCGCTACATCCTCGGCCACCAGCAACGACGACTCTCCAAGACCCGCTGGGTTGACCACCTCACAAGGGCCGCGCAGAGCAGTCGACGCTTGCTGCTGGGGCCGCAACCTGGTGCCGCGCGGCAGGGACATCACCACCAGCACCGAAAGATCCAAGGCAGGCGGGGGAATGTGCCTGGCAAGACAATAGGCCCAGGCGACAAGACCGAAGGCATCAAGATGGCCCAGTCGGGCAGTGGCGGCAGCGGCTATGGCTACGGTAACGGCTATGGCTACGGCGGCAGCGATCCCGGCCAGTACGGCGATCGGGAGCCTGGCACGCGGCGCAGGAAACTTGCAGGTTTTGCCAAAAGTGTCTACCAGGCCGGCGTCGCCACCGCGTCTGAGATTCGCAACCAGTACGACAACACGAGGATACGCGGCGTCGTGGACGTGGATGACCAGAGCTACAAGGTGTCAATACCTGGCTCGTTCCCCAATGTTGCTATCATCAGCAAAGGGGACGAGCAGATGATCCTGTTCCCTTCGTACGCCGCCAGGCATGTTCGGCGGTTCAGGGACGACGATAGGCAGCCGTCGGCGCATGTCGAAGGCGAGCGCAGGGAGGCCGACCTCAGCGAAGAGGACTACTGGCGCAACGAATGGGCGAGAATGGAGGACAAGAAGGCCGTGGTCGACGTGGACGTGCGGGGATGGGTATATGCGCCGCACAAGGGGCCGATGACAAGGAAAAATAGGGTCCTGATTGGTCTTGCGAGGAGGCTCAGTGGTGTGCCGCAACAGTTACAGCAGCCTTCTGGACAACCAGGGTCTCTCAGAACCGGTCACGAGGATCGCGAGGACGCGAGGGAGCAGCAAAAGATCGACAAGGAGGCTGAGATGATTGAGAGGCGAGGCCAGGCTGAGAAAGAGGCTGCTCTTAAAGGAGGGTACAGCGAGACTCCCAAGGCAGATGACTCGGATGGTGAAGGCCCGGGGACATCCCTTCGAAGCCGGAGTGCAAGCGGAAGCGCCACGCCCATGTCTGTGCCCTCTTCTCCGAGACTCTCTGCGAGGCCTGTCAACAATGGCGGCGCCACAATGGAGTTGACCGAAGCCGAACTGGCTGTGGCCAACGCCAACCTAATGGCCCGTCTCGGTCCATTCTTGACCACTCCGCTGGTCGATCTGCCTGTGACGCTGTTCTTCTATAACAACGACCAATCCGTGTCCCGGACGGTCATGACCAACGACGCTGGCCACTTCTCCATCCGAGCAGCACTAGACTTTGTCCCCACACACGTCCGCGTGCTGGCAAACGAGAAGCTGTCCGCGGTCGAGCCCGTCGAAGTCATCGGAGACAACGGCGTCAGCGTCATCAGCGACATCGACGACACCATAAAGAAATCTAGCATATCTCTGGGTGCTAGAGAAATCTTTCGCAACACATTCATCCGCGACCTCAAAGACCTCACCGTCGCCGGCGTCGAAGAGTGGTACGGCGAGCTCCACAGGATGGGCGTGAGCTTCCACTACTGCTCCAACAGCCCCTGGCAGCTTTTCCCTGTCATTGCCACCTTCTTCCGCCTGGCAGGCCTCCCTCCTGGGTCTCTTCATTTGAAACAATACAGCGGCATGTTACAGGGTATCTTTGAGCCAGTCGCCGAGAGGAAGAAAGGAACATTGGAAAAGATTCTGCGTGACTTCCCCAGACGGAGATTCATCCTCGTTGGTGACAGTGGTGAGGCGGACCTGGAGGTGTATACTGACCTTGCGGTCGCGAACCCGGGGCGGATACTTGCTGTCTTCATACGCGATGTCACTACGCCAGAGCAGACCGGTTATTTCGACTCTGCGTTCAACGGGCCTGCACCATCAGGTGCGCCCAGCAGACAACAATCTACCAATGCGCACTCAAGGAAAGATTCTGGAAGCGATCATCCTTCGCGTAGACCGGCTCTGCCATCTAGGACTGCTACTGGGGCTTCTAGACAAGAAGAACCGGCTGAGGAAGATTTGATCGACTTCTCGGATGAGCCGCAAAATATGACTCCGAAGGAAGAGGATAAGTTGCACAAGTCAATGGATGGCCCATCGCGGTCTGTCGGTCTGCAAGAGCCGGCACCGCGCAAGAAGCCCCCTCCTCCAAGGCCCAGCAAGCCCGCAGCACTCAGGAGCGAATCTTCAAACGCTTCCAGGACTGAAGCGCCCACCAATGAGGCTGGGCCAGCCTCATCGGCCAAGATCCCAGCAGCATCCCAACCGAGGAGCGCAATTCCTCATCCCCTCACACAGATGCAGAACTCGTCGGGCCAGGCGTTGGGAAAGAGCCCAACGCTTCCACCTAGAAAACCAAGCAGCGGGAGCAACAGTAACGCCGGCTCTACAAAATCGAACACCAACACCTCTAACGCTCAATCGCCTTCCAGCACTTACTCTTCAACGGCAAATAAGCAGCCGCCGCCACCACCGCCTCCTCGACGTCGCGGCACCCCGTCTCTGCTGAATCTCAGTCCCAGGGCAAGGGCTCTGCGGCGCGCGGCGTCCAACTCGGACATCGACAGCCTAAACCTGGACGCTTCTGCCCCGGCGTCTACACCCAGGCCCGACCCACCGAATCGGACTGGGACGGCTTCCACCTTCGACTCTATTCTGGGATCTACGACTGGACACACTATGCAGCAAGGGGGCCAGAACATGCCTGTGAACAAGAAGCTGGAGCTCTGGAGGAGGAGGCTGGAAAGGGCGCACGACACATTGGAGAAGGAAGGCGTGAGATTGTACACTTGGCGCAAAGGGGGTGACGTCGTGTCAGAGGCAGTGGGGATCGTCAAGGAAGCCACCGAGAATACTAGAGAGACGGACAAAGCCCGGAAATAAGTGGGCGACGGTGCTTTCTTTAGAATACCAACCTGGTCCGAGGACTTACTCTGCGTGGAGGAATTGTGCGGCATGAGCATGGCGTTGGCAAGGGTTACAATACAAGCATGGATAATTTCTTGAAATGAAACATACACGCATACCCACCCCGCTGCTGGTTTGTTACTTGGTATGCGACATATAGCTATCTGACCTGTGCAGCCTGTGAGCGTCAATGGCCCGTTTCTCCCGAGATCAACGGGAGATTATCACCTAAGCTTTGGCTAAGACGTTGTGCGTCATAGGAGTTGCCGGGTTGATCATGCACCAATTGCCCATCGCTTCTCCACCTCAACCAACACGGACATGTAAGTAGTGAAGTTGCTCTTGGTGTTTAGCTACGCCGGATGACTCACGCCTCTCACTTCAACCTGAATGTGCAACGCCATGTCCGATTTGAGGATGCAATATAGTGTTTTCCTCAGTGCTGAGTCTCAAATGCTTCCTTTTAACCATTCACGCATGACCTACTATATTGTCAATTGGCACAATGAACTCTCAGGCCCTCCTTGACACCATCACCGCCGATGCTCAAGCACACGTCGCCTTTCTCCAGCGCCTCGTCCAGGCTGCCTCCCCCAACCCACCGGGCGATACTCGCGCTGCGGCTGCTGTGATTCGTGACTACCTGTCTTCGCAGCACAATATCCAAAGTCACGTCATTGCACCCGGCGGAGAGCAAGCCCCCAATGTGCTCGCCGACTTTGCCTGTGGTGACGTGCAGGGCCCGAGGCTTGTCATGAACGGACACATGGACGTATTCCCCGCTGGAGACGGGAAGGACTGGGAACGCAACCCGTGGTCGGGGGATATTGTCGATGGTAGACTGTGTGGCAGGGGCACGGTAGACATGAAGGCCGGCACTGCGGCAAGCGTGATCGCCTTTGGCTATATCCATCGGTACAGGGAGCATTTAAGCGGCAGCGTTGGACTGTGTGCTGTAAGTGACGAGGAGACGGGTGGCAAGTTCGGCACGAGGTGGCTGTTGGAGCATGACGAAGATGGGAATGAGCTCGCCCGCGGAGAGAAGAGCAGGTGGGCGGGTGATGTGGCCATCAACGCCGAGCCTGGGGGTCTGAATACGATCCGCTTCGCGGAGAAGGGGACGCTAAGGTTGACTTTCGTGGTCGATACGGGCCCTGGGGCCCACGGGGCTTTTACACACTTAAGCAAGAGCGCGACAAGGATTGCTGCCAACCTCATCTCTGAGCTGGCTGTTGTTGAGGATATCGTGCCCGACTTGGACCCGGGGCTCCGGAAGTACTTGCAGAGGGAGGATGTGAGAGAAGAAATCGACAGATGTATGGGGAAGGGAGCGGCCGATATTGCCATGAAATGTACACTGAACATCGGCACGCTCCACGGCGGTCTAAAAGTGAATATGATACCTGGGCATTGCGTATTCGAGGCGGATATCAGGATGCCCCTGGGCCTCAAGGCGGATGCTGTCATGGCTGTGATCCATCAGGTCCTGGAGAGATATCCAGAAGCCAAGGTCGAAATTCAAACGGCTGCCAGCAACCCGGCCGCTGCGTGCGAGCACGACCACCCCATGGTGGATATTCTGGCCCGAAATGCGCAGAGGGTCACTGGACGGAAGCCGTTGGCGATACCGAGCATGGGGGCGACGGACTGCAAATTCTATCGCTACCATGGTGTCCCAGCGTACATTTTTGGGGTGCCACCGGATACCATGGGCGCAAAGAACGAGAGTGTCTCGGTTGAGGACTTCATGGCAGTCGTGAAGACACACGCGCTCGCGGCTTGGGAGTATCTAGGCGGCGCGGTATAGGGCACGAGGGCTCGGATCTATGTGCAAAATAGCCTTGTTAAGAAGATATCGGTAGTACTTGTCATCTTTGTGAGAAAAAAAAAGAGACGACGAAATTTGATACTTACTTGTTGTGCTTATTTGAGTGACCAAGTGATTGATTGTATAATTGTATACTTCCGCCCCCCACAGGCAAAATCTTTACAATGCACTTCCCATTACCTCTAAATAGGCTTTTGCATATTCCTTGAAGGCTCACGAAAAGCCTCCCGGATGGCTATGGACGTTTCAAAAAGTGTTGTCCTCCAGGCGCATCAGCCGCGTGCAAATAGATGACGCACCCACTTTGCCCTACAGATGGGAGAATACTTGCCGTCGCTAAAACGAAGCTGTGGATGACATAGTGTAGCCAATTGTATGAACAATACCCATCATCACAACATTCTCCGCACAAAAGATGGACTAGTTTAGTCCTAGTGATCCCATACCTTCTCTGCAAAACAACAGTAGCGGGGCTTGTGGATGGCATGTTGCATTGCCATGGGCCGTTATGGAAAAAAAAAAAGCACCACACAAGGCCGCGGAGCGCCGGGGCTCGGACCTACACCTATTCGCATTACGCGTCGCACGACCTGGCCAACTTCCTGATAAGGGAGGTCTTATTTTCTTCCATGAGTTATGTCCTCACAGGGTCGTCTGGGCATTTCTGGGCAACGCTTGGCGAAATCGCTTGATCGAGTGTGCCGACTGTGTCGTTGGCGATGAGGAGTCTGGGCGTATGCTTATGCAGGCACACCGGCGAAACCAGCCAACGAGAAGTGGGTGATCGACGGCCCGGCGGCAGATGCTGGGCCAATTTCAAGGAAGCCAGGTCGACCAGCAGCCTACATATGTACGAAACGTTGATAATTACCTGGGTGGCCCAGGGCTTATCAGGACGGGCTCATGCCAAGGCGGCCTGGGCGAACCAACAGCAAGATAAAGCAGCCCCAATGCTTCCCTATTTATCAAGCGAAGCATGATAATTGTTCAGGTGATCCTATCACGCCGCCGTACACACAACGTCGTTCCTGATGTACAGGCAGGCTAGTCTCCATGCCGAACGACAGCCGAACGCCTCTTGACATCGCCAAGAACTCAACGGCAATCAGGCCTTTTGAAAGATCCGGGGAATGCAGCTTAGCGATAGGCGGATATCGCTCCGCCTATCCCCATAGAGATGCTGCGTTTTCGTAGTCGTGGTGGTACTCGGCCGGTGTATGAGAAAGGAAGGTCTGGAAAGTTGCAGCGCACGATCGAAAGTTGGCTGATGAAAGAGATTAGGTTGACGCGTCTTATGTAGATAGGATAGGAGTCCGACCTTATATGCATTTTGCCCTAATTTGTGATGGCCAGATACAATCAACTCGACTATTAAAGCACATGGACCCTGTCCCTCAGCTCTGACTACGATGGATATACCACACTCGACACTACCAGGAGAATAAGTTTCTTCGATTAAGCTCAGTCCTTCTTTACCAACCCTGATCCCTCACCCAAGCAGCATGTTGCCCAAATCTATCTTCATCGCTGCCCTTGCGGCTTCGCATGCTGTTGCCCAGCGCGCTTGCGGTGCTCCTGAGCCCACGGAGGAACAGATTGCTATTGCCAAGGCTCTATACCAGATCGAAAAGGATGCCCGTCTTGCAGGCAACGCGACCTCGGCTTTGGCTACTGTCGAGGTCAATACTTACTTCCACGTTCTGGCCAGTTCGACCTCTACCTCTGGAGGCTACCTCAGTGTACGTGGCTCTTCATTAATCATCTTCGCTTACCTGTCCTCCGCCTCATTCGTCATGGCTAATACTCGGTATAGGCCAGTTCGATCAGCTCCCAACTGGATGCTATGAACACGGCATACGCACCACATGGAATTTCCTTCGTCAATGCTGGAACCGACTGGACTGTGAACTCTAATTGGGCCAGCGACGGCTCCGAGACAACTATGAAGAGATCTCTCCGTAAAGGAACATATGCGGACTGTAAGCAGCCTCCTCTTGTATTGAAGCCTAGCAAAATGCTTCAGCCTTCGAGACAGACGATGGGCGGATGACTCCCTACCTTTTAAATTCTCTGGGATAACGCTTCTTTCCCGGTTATCTGATAACTAACTGGAAATGTTGCAGTAAATCTGTACTTTGTCAATTCGATGGATTATCTGGGCTATTGCTACTTCCCAACCAGCACTAGCGGCTCTGATAGCAACTTCTACCTCGACGGTTGCACCATTCTGTCCTCCACTGTTCCTGGAGGCTCTGAGACAAACTACAACCTCGGGCTTACTGCTGTCCACGAAATTGGCCACTGGTTCGGCCTGTACCATACGTTCCAGGGCGGTTGCTCTGGCTCTGGCGACAGCGTGGATGACACGCCGGCTGAGGCCAGTGCTGCTTCTGGCTGCCCAGAGGGTCGGGATACCTGCACTGCGGCTGGCGTAGACCCCATCCACAACTACATGGACTATACTTACGACACATGCTACGAAGAGTTTACCACCGGCCAGGAAGACCGCATGTACTCCTTCTGGGACCAGTACCGCGCGTCATTCGCGTGATGATGCTCAGTCGGGCGAGGTATCATGACAGGGAAAGCATTCGAGGGATCCTCCCGACTCATAGTCAGTAGCTATTCGGGCTGTGTGTTGGTGAAGCGGCTCTCATTGCAATGTGTATTCTCTTCTTTTCGATGTGTTGCAGATCAATCAATTTAGGGGGATTCATTGCAAAAAGCACGTTTTCATGCTATGCAATTTGAGTGATTCTGACGCCCGCGGAAGTTTTCTCATTCCGAGGTACGAAACTAAATCAGCTCTGCCGATTGCATTCACGATCTGCGCTGGGATCCCTCTTTACAGCGCGCGCATATCCATGCCTGCCGTGCAATTCGCTGTAGACAGGTCAGACACCAAGTCACCCTTCGCTGATGGTCGAAGGTGAGTATGCGTTTACGAAAATGTGAAGTGTGTCAATGTGCTGATGCTCTGTCAATTGAGCAAGCAAATTCAAGGATATATTGACATGACTAGAGGGATGGTTTTATGTCCGGATAGGCATGATCCATGCGGATAATTTTGCTGAATAATATATACATTATCATGTAGAAGGTAAATTCCACCACGTCACCGTTCCAAAAGCTGTACCTCTTCACTAATCCAGAATTCCTCCACTATAGATACTGATGGCCTCGCTAAAAGCTTCACTGATTTGCGCGGCAAGCTGCTGTCCAGTGGAAACAAATGTAGCCGGCAGTTTGCTTACGACAGCATCGCTGAAGTCTGACGAAGCAGACTTCTGCTGCTCGAGATTCAAAAGGACGACTGGGGTCAACAAGTTGCGGTCGAATTTTGGTTTGGCGTCGACAATGGCATCCAGGGACGCGTTGACGTTGCCGACAAGTGTGATAGTGGCTAAGCCGACGGTAACTGCTTCGAGGTCGGCAAGGGCGGCTGAGTCCTCCGCGGTTTGGGTACCCTTTTTGATAGTTGCGAGGAGCTCAGTGGACTGCACGATGATAGGCAGCGCCCCGAGGATGTTCCCATTGAAGTTGCTGACCGTGGTTGTCAGTTCATTGGTGGCGTTTTGGATGGCCGAGATGGCGTTGACGATGGATGTGCCATCTGCAAGCACGCTTCCGACGCCGAGGACGAGGGTAGGGAGAACTTTGGCAATAAGCATGGCGTTTGAGTTCGGTAGGGCTCAGTAGGGCACGGGTGTTCTGCTCAGACGAAGCAGTGACTGGAGCTGGAAAGTGATCCGCGGAAGTTTTCCAGAAACGAAAGCTGAGGCTGGCAGATGGGGATTTTATACATGGAGGTACCGCGCATGACGTCTCTTTGCAATTTCCAAGAGAATCTACAAATGGTGCAAACGGGCATACAGCTGATTGAGGTTACCTCTACCCCGCAAACTGACGGAATTTTTGAGGACTGCACGCATGGGTGTCTTTTGTCGATGGATTTCCTAATCCAGCCAGGTATATTTCGTAACGCAAACCACTGTTGCATTACCGAGCGCTGTTTCTTGCGGAGGCTGGGGTACGATCCCACAACGATTGTGATGGTTCGTGGAAAAGCGAGGCAGGGCCAGGGGTGGCGTCGGCCGAGTCACGGACGATTTGATAAATAGGGAAAAGCTTGCTGTTTTTGCGCTCCCAGAGTCGTTTTGCGGGGGAGGGCGTGACGCGATGATTGGAGAGGTGATGATCGTTGCAGCTTAAAGGAATATCTGGGGTAAAGATGCTGGTCCTTGTAAGCCGCGGCAACTCTGAAGTTGGACATGTGACGGCGCAGCGGCCAAATCACGAAAGTACTGCTCATACTTGACTGCAACAGTCTTTCTGTTCAACTCGCAGTGATCGACTACGAGGCGTGTACAACGGCCAAGTGCTTGAAGAATCAGGAGCAAGCATGTGAAATTAGAGTTTAGTTTCTTACGATTTGGATGAACCTTTGCGCAGATACAGCTCGGATGACAAGCATTAACATTATGCTATATAGCCAGCAGGTCAACGTCAGACATGGTTTGTTCGTCCGATCTCTATGTTGATCTACTTTAGTCTGGATGAGAGCAGTGTGTCAGAACCTACATCGCCAAAATATGAATTATTTATCTTGTCTCACCTGGCCCAGATCATCCGTCTTACTTGTACATCAATGCATGAGGTGAGTATGATTGTAAAATAACTCAACTGTATTGTAGATGGTTAATTAAACAGATTTCAAGGAAATGCTCAAGGTGACATAGCACTTCAATTGAAAGCAGAAAGACATGATAACAAAAACAGGGTGTATAAATGAACTCTGAACATTTACTTATGGTCATTGACAATGCACAGCACCAGAGCACTATTGCTCATGTATAATCAACGAAGAGAGGCATTTCTGAGCGAGGAACCCGGTCGGGGATGGAAAAGGAAGGATTGTAGACTTACCCCAGCAGCTCCAGTCTACCCAGAAAGCTAGGGTTGATAACCGGATTGTGCAATTCGGCGATTGTAGACATACAGGCCGCCGCCGGGTCACCGCTGGCAGTGAGAGAGCCCATCCAATACTCATTTCCTGGGAAACTGTTTGAGTCCCATGCGTAGCTCAGCACCAGGAGCTGTTCGGCTTTGTCCGCTGGTAATTTCGCTGCTGGATTCCTCTTAGAGAACAGCACGTCAACACCGTGCGACGCTGCGATGGCCTCCATGTTCTGGCGATTGGCAGACGCTACGTCGATCCAAGCAAACTCCAGAGTTCCCAGCTCGGCCAATTGAGAGCCGAGATCTTTGATCACTTGAGCAAAGACGTCAACATAGAGCCGCGGCTGGTCGGCATCCACCTGCCATACGCCAAGCCCGAGGCCAACAATGTACACGTAGGCCTTCTTGTTCGCAATCCTCGCACGCCTATCGGCCTCGAATAAGAGCATTTCGGCCGAAAGGCGAATACGGGCTTGATATGCCTGGGCATTGAAATTGTCCGGCGCTGGAGGTCCGATGCGAAGAAAATCCTGCCATGTTCGGCGTAAATCGGGATGCATCCTTGGGTGTCGAACCGGAGGCAGGATATAGCTGGATTCCATTCGATCCTCCCTCTCGAAGCGAGCACCGACTAGTCCGACAATGATTCCTCGCTGCTCAAACGTCCCAGGCGCACCGGGCCTTGCTGCGTTGTATCTACTTCCGTCATTTATAAAATGGCTAGAGCCGGAAACCCCTAGAAGCGCACTCAACATCATCTCATCGTAGCTCAAAAAGTCGTTGAGCCGAAGATGAGAATTGAGATGTTCCTGATCGGTGCCGACACGATCCCAGTCCCGAGCAGCGCCGCCCAAGATTCGGCCGTCTGGTAGCTTGGTGAGATCACTACCACCCATGAAAACTAGAGGACGCTTCGAGATCAGACGAGAAACCTCATCGCGCCAAGACATGGATGTGTAGAGAGACTGCTCAACTGCAGAGCCGTGCTGTATCTTGTGCTGCAGGAAGGCCCGGACCAGCTCTGGGAAGCGCGCGTGCGCGATGATCGTTGTGGCCTCAGCGTCGTTCTTGACGACGACGGGGTCGAATTTGACAATGCTGTTTCTGCTGACGGGCAGGTGACCACGCATCTCTGCGACGCGGGCAACGGCTTGGCCCGTGATGGCGGCTACTCGTTGGTCGGACATGGTGTTGAATCGTGGTTTGAGATTTGACTTGACGCTGTTGCTGATGATTCGCATGGCTGGTGGTCGCTGGTGGGTGGCTTTTAAAGAGAGCTGGGTGCATGGAAAGTCATGTGCTTCACGACAATTGGCGCCTTGAACAACTGGATTGTTACGTGAGCCTTCACGGGAAGGAAGAGGTGATGGCTGCCTAAAAGAAAAAAAAAACATTACGTCATTCCGCAACGAACACGGCCTCGCTTACCTTTTACTACACTTGCAAGACAGTCAAGTCAAGGAAATGATGGCAAGTCAAGTAGAGCAGCCGTGGAAGCTCTGGATCGTACAACTATTATCTCATTGAAATATATCATTCTTGGAATAAAATAAGAGATGTATCTAGTCCCTGTTTTTTTTCAACAGGTATCGCAATAGCTCGTTGGAGCCCTCTGGGTCATATAATTATATCATCGCCGAGTAGTCATTCGGAGGCCTCGTTGCATGCGAGATGACCAGAATTCATTACAAAATGCCGGCTCCCAAGTGCCTTTTCATGTTGTATTTGATCAGCTACTGCATACCATTCATCACATGATACATGCTGCCTGCTCTGGCATCTTGTTTTCACTAAAGAAGCCCGACTCCTGTCAGCCGTGCCGCACTGGCAGTCTCGTAGGTCCTGAGAGGTACCTAGTTGGCAAGCCTTGCGGTAACTTTCCTAACTACTGAATAGGGAGTGATTAGGCAGTCGTGTGTACTATAGTATAGCTCTTGACTAAGGGGGCAGCGCCACAATGGTGAGGTGGGTGCCTGTATGCATGCTGGGATTATCTATCTGTATTCAATAAAGTCTATGTCCCCCGCACCACCCGCACACCATAGCGTGCCCCCAAGATAGACAAGGGGTTTTTGGCAGTTGCCGGTATCGCGCCGCTAAACCTGCTCACCGTCTTCGTATCATCTCCCCAAGTCCTTGGCTCCCGCATTTATTACACAGCAAGTCTCCGAGGAAAGGCGACGAATGAGGCGATAACAGCGACAAGGACCCTGGCCGTGTTTTGCAGATCCCCAGCTAGGAAATCTGAAAGGCTGGGCCAGACTGGGCCGCACCTGCGTGCAGCTACAAAACTCGCATGATGCTTGCCATGCCGGCAGCGACAGGGCTCCTCTGAAGTCCGTTGTCCCCATCTACAATGATATTCCGAAAATTGTTTGCGTTCGCGGGGGTTGCCGCCGCTTTGCAGCCTCTTCCTCCCGTGCAATGGATAAGCAGCAATGCGTCCTCGACCGGATTCTCTATCCAAGAAGCCCCGAAGAAAATCTACATCGCCAGCAGTTTCGCAGATCGCACCGACACGGAGGGTCTGACGCTCATACCGCCGTCGGCATACGAGTTCGCAGAGACCTTCCGCCAGGACCTCTCCCAACTCTTTGGCGACGGATGGAAAATCGAGCAGATCGACGAATTCCCTGACTCGGGCATCTTCCTGGGGCAATCTAGGGGGGACGCAAGCCAATTGAAGTACGAAAATGGAGTCCAGACAGAGGAAGGCTATGAGCTGGAAGTATCGGCCGGGAGCGTCTTCATTGGCGGAACAGGCGCTCGTGGCATGTTTTGGGGAACACGAACGCTGCTGCAGGAGCTTCTGGTTGCCAATGGGACAGCCTTGGCCCCAGGCCGGACAACTGATGCCCCTGCGTATGCGACACGAGGGTGGATGCTCGACGCTGGCCGGAAATGGTACACGGCCGACTTCCTCAAGGAATTGTGCACCTACGCGTCGTTTTTCAAAATGTCCGAGTTCCATTACCACTCGAGCGACAACTACCCCTTGAACAGAGGACACAATGAAACGTGGTATGAAGTCTACTCTCATTTCTCGCTATTTCCGGAGAATTCAGAGCTCCAAGGGATCATCGAGCGCCAAAACGAGACCCTCTCAAGGGAGGAGTTTGAGGACTTCCAGAAGCATTGTGCGCTGCGCGGTGTTACGGTGATTCCAGAGATAGAGGCCCCAGGCCATGCTTTGGCCATCACAAAGTGGAAGCCTGAACTTGCGTTGACGAAGAAGGATCTTCTTAATTTGACACACCCTGATACGGGGCCCACTGTCAAAGCCATCTGGGAGGAGTTTCTGCCTTGGTTCCAGACTAAAGAAGTACATATCGGGGCTGACGAATACGACGCTGATCTCGCCGATGACTACATCAGATTCGTGAATGAGATGAAGGACTGGGTCAACGAGACCTCTGGGAAGCGTATCCGTATCTGGGGCACCAACGAGCCGTCGGAAAACCTCACCGTCTCCAACGACATCATCATCCAGCACTGGCAATACGGACAATCCGACCCTGTCCAGCTCCAAAATGACGGGTACGAGCTGATCAACTCGAACGACTGGTGGGCTTACATGAGTCTCAAGAACGACCATATGCCCATCCTCCCAGCTCCCTACCCGCAATTTTACAACGTCACACGTACGATGAATTTTGCAAACGTTCCTGGCTGGCAGTGGGATCCGCGGCTTTTCAACCAGGTCAACACCACCGAGCAGCTCGAACCCGGGGCGAGTGGGAACAGAGGTGCGATCCTGGCCGCCTGGAGCGACAGCGGCCCAGACGCCACAACGCAGCTCGAAGCGTACTATGCCATGCGCGACGGGATACCTGTAGTAGCAGCTCGTGCCTGGTCCGGTACACGCGGGCTCAACATCTCCGCGGAGGACCTGCCCTCCACTCTCACGCTTCTCACGTCAAAAGCACCGGGGCAGAACCTCGACAGACGGCTTCCCGGACCACAATACCCATCTGCAAACTCACCGCTCATGTCATGGTCGCGCCAACCATCAGATGCAGCCAACGTGAGCCTGAACCAAGGCTCGTACGGCCCGCCGTACACACTCACCCTCAGAGCCTCCTCCGCATTCTCACTCATGGGCCCCGACACATCGCTCAGCGTCGAGGACGTCACGTCAAATGACACCGAGACAACCACCACCACGACACTCGTCTTCAAGACCGCAGATAACTGGCCCTACCCGCTGCGCTCGACGTCCGAGTCCGACGGCCACGACCCCGCACACCCAGGCCGCATCTGGACCAACGTGTCGAGCTCCACGCACGGGCTCGTCCCAGTCGCCCTGCCCGCTGAGATCCGCGTCGAGACTGACGTCGTGAATGGAAGCCGAGTGTGGGTGGACGGTGAGTTTAGGGGCCGGTTCGAGGTGTTTGTGTTTGGCGGGAGGAATACGCTGTTCAGTTGGAGCCAGATGGCGTTGGTTGCGCCGTTGGGGGGCGTCGAGGGTGGGTTGGATGGGCTGGTTTTGGAGGCTGGGATCGGAGGAACGAGAGGGAATCAGACGGGAGGGAACCAGACGGGTTCTTCACCCATCAATGGCACCGACAGGATGGGTGAGGGTTCTGGATGGACTTTCTTGGCGATGGTAGGAGCTATTATGGCGCTCGTATTGTGAGGCTCATATATAATACTAGCTACTAAAGCTAACTGAAGGTAACAAGCTTAGGTATATGAGTATTAAATACTTAAGTCTGGTTAATTTAAAATATGACCCGGGACTTTACCCATTTAAAATAAGAAAGTATGATATAAGATATAAGATAGAGTCTATGAAAGAAAAAGTATCAGGTGAGTTTACAAGAAGTCACTTTCAATAAGTAAGGGGCTGATAACTATAAATGCATCTTCAAACTCTGTTCCGTCCCGCAGCATGGCTGCTATAAGTTACCCTTACTGTGCTTGAGTTATGGATAAGGTACAAAGCAGCAGTGTAAAGGTAATTCAGACACGGGAATGCGGCCGGTTCCGGGTGCATTTTTTCTTCAGTGGCTCACCCATCAGAAAACACACCTGAAACTTGCTTCCAGCTCTTAACATTGTAAGGTTCGATTAAGTAATACTATATGTAGCCTTGCGATTCATTTGAGTACACTTGTAAGGTCGCAGTCAGGCTCAAAAACTTCATTTGTTCCGCTTTGAGAACCTCAGAGATATAGCTTCAAGGGAGGAAATGGGAGTGGGGTGGGGAATGGTTTGTTTCATAAGGCTCAATCATGACAAGACAGTTTAGATGCTGGTAGTGCGTGCCGAAGTCAGTGACAGCTGAAATCGTCTGACAGAAGTATAGCATGGTATCTCGCTAGTATCCATTTGCAAAGTAGAAGACCGAGAAACGCAGCGAGCTGCGCCCCAACAAATCACTATTGGGATTCCTCAGGACAAAGAGAAGGACGGGGCTTACTTCATTCACGGTGAAGTCACAAGCTGTACCAATATCGAGCCCAAGCGATCTAGTCTCGAAGCTCTGACAGAGCTTCACTCATTCTGTGTACTGCTCAGTGTGCGTCCTAGGCTTGATATGACCCATGCCCCGGGACTGTCTTTAAACTCTAAACTATTTGCTCTATAACTACGTTGATATGTCAAAAGTCCAGCGACATCATGCGAAGTGCTCAACATAGTGGCATGAACAGTGTTGCTTCAGCACTGGTCACTTGTAGTGCGCAACCTACGCCTAGGCCCTTCTAACCTTAGAACCTTTCCATTTCACATTTGCACAAGCATTCCAACATCAGCAGAGAATCTATACCGCAGATATTCATAGCATACTGTTCAAGGCCCTCCTGGGCCCTGAGAATTAATCTCTAACCGGCTCGCTTTTGCTAGAAGCATCGAACACCAAAGTCAGAGTTGAAGAAATGGTATGAACCACTCGTCCCTTGTAAGTTTTTACACGGACCTGATCCCTGTGTAACAATAAGCCATCCGTATCTAGACCGGCCCTACTTGCGCCCGTCTGGCTCAATGGGAAGAGCCTATCGTTAACGTAATTAATTTGCGGTCGAACAGGACAGAGGCTCAATCGACGCTGAACAGCCGGAAGACGGGGTCTCCGGACGTGACGTTGACGGAGACGGAGAGCTGAGCTCCCTAAAATAATGAATGAGGGACGATGTGGTATGCGCTAGGCTCGATTAGAGCATCGTAAGCATGCAGTGAGCACCCGGGCACGCCAACCTCGTAAATACCTGTGTAAATCTTGGCGGATCCTTCTCGCGCAACACGGCCGTTATGATTCGGCCTCCGTGCTGACATGGCTGCCTGGTCTTGTTATTACCAGGGCTGTGTGCACACTCCCTGGGCCACCTGGACATACGAAGGAGTGTTCCGCTGCGTCTTAATTTCATCCGCCCAGTCATTTCTGTTTCTTTATTTGTACTGCCGCGAGGCGGTGCGATGCGCGTGCCTGGCTACTTTGCCAGATCGCAAGGCATATTGTTTAAACACCTATAGTCTGTGGCGTGAGGTTTGCTTCTTCCTCACTCACCATTTCCTCAATTCCTGTGAGTCTTTGTCATCTATAAGACGGATGCGGGCCGCACACTCTGTGCTTAGGTTCAGTTCTTTACAGCCCGTCTAACTCTCAAATGCTGTTTGCTTTGCATATCTCCTAATTATTTTGCCCACTTATTACCTTAATCGCTCCACACATTTTAATCATCCGCATTATCGTCCGACTAAACAATCTGCTCAACTCATCGAGCAATGACAAAATACATCGATTACAATGTCTCGGCGGGTGTCAACGTCGGCTTTACAGCCATCATGATACCGCCCCTATTCGTCATCATGTGCATCAGCTTTTACCGAGCACGGCGCAGCCATGATCCGGCACGAGTTACGATTGCATATTTCAAGGCTATGCTGCCGGTAGCAATACTGTATGTTCAAGTGGAGCTAAAACAAGCGAGATATTGTGCACAGCGCCTTGCTCTGGTGTCTCGTGTTCCTCAGACTGTTTTCACTGACTTTATCAATAGGTGGCTTTTAATGTACACAATACAAGGTATCCTTTCTATCATCTACGAGCAAAGCTACTCCGATACGGGGGGCATCTACCACGCTTCTTTACGCACGTCTCTCCTCGGGACTCTTTTCTCCTACATAACAAATCTCCTCCTGATCATGACCCTTGCTGAGCTGGGCAACGGCTTCCTGTTCTGCCTCACCCAGACGAGAACAGCGCTACAGAAGGCGGTCAGGTACGCTGCCATAGCATCGTGCATAATCCTTTCTATGCTGGCAATTGCAATATTCGGTGTTTATAACGCCGAATATTCGCGTTATCTGAGCGATTGGTGGTATCGTTACGACGAAGACTCTTTGTATGAGGCTAGCAGGAAGATGAATGTAGCCTTCAACATCCTCACGTTTGTTTGGGCTTTACTGCTGGTGGCTTTCGCCGCCGTAGTCTTCAACAAGACGAAGCATAACTACATATTGAAAAACGTAAGTTGTGCACTACGACTGCTTCAGCATTTCCAGCGTCACCGGCAAACGGCAAGCCAACTCAAATTTTGTTACTTGTGCTGACCCAAAAGTCCACTCCAGTCCGCAGTCCTCTTCCTCGTCGCCGCGATCCTGAACTTCGTCACCCAGCTGTACACACTCATCTACCTCTCCGTCTTTGTACTTGCCGACTTTTACCCCTATGATCAGTACGAGACCTATACTGCTCTCATGTTTGTAGACCCGGTCATCAATGATTGGATCTATACTGCCGTCGTGTCACTCGTCTTTGTCATCGTCATCCGCAAGCGCAACGGTCTGTGGACCACCGTGCAGCCGTGGATGGACCAAGAGGGCCCGCCTGCACTGGCCGCAAACCCGATCCACAAAGGCCGGGGCGAGCAATGGCAGCAGCCGTCTAACAGCCATGTCTTGGGCGTTTAGGGGCACTCGGGGTTGGATGGGGCTAGCAGGTCTACCATGTAGGAGCCCGGTTCGCACATGTATGCTAGGTGCAAATGATAGATATCTTGAATACACGTTGCATCCACCAGTGCCTAGCTTCATGCAGAGAGATCAGCACGTGGTTGGGCTGACGTCTGTTTGCAAAATTTGATTATACTTAATGCCTAGGAGCTCGGCGCTGTCAACACGAAGCCGCCCGAAATTCCAGGAGCCAGACTCCGATTCCCGGGACCTTATACGCCCAGGAGAGCCTAATAGGCATCTTGATAATCTCTACAGCCCTTCTAATGCTTCTGAGTAATGCCAGAAACCTATATATGAATGCGGCTATTGGTACACACAGTCAAATGTGATCCATCCGTCCATCAACAGGATCCGGAAAACTAATCCCGATCAATAAGACTCAAACAAGCAAACTCACTGTGCTCTATGATCATTGTTGAATTGCACGAAACCAGGTTTAAGATATCCTACTTACCTAGTTACCTAGCTAGAGACTGAGAAGTGGGAAGTTTTGGCCTTCTGGAAGCTGGTAGCTCACTTATAAGCAGCCTATGCAGGAGTAGATGTGGATAAAAGCCACTGACCCATATCTACAGAGACGTTGAACAGTGAGCGGACTAAACTTATTATGAAGCTAGGTTCTCCTGAGGCTCAACTTGATACCCGAAGCGTCAATCAGCTGACGGCTGTACTGGCAGGCCTTTATCTCCGAATGAAAAGAACTTGCGTGAAAAGAAGTCCTTGATCCTGACCACAGCACAGATTGCTCTTAGACATGAGCCAAATCATGAACATATTGAACAAGTATTATTATGCACCTTGAATCTAATAGGAGGGGCACGTCTTAACAGCTTGTAGTGTAAATTCTAGAAGTTGAGACTACCCCGACTACTGAAGCCCGTAAGACTCAGTCAATTGCAGGTAAAGGGACGGCGGCGAAAATGGCAGGTTTTGATGTGTACAAATTGCCGCTGGGAGCAATATGGACAGAACGGAAGCCTGAATGATGCAGTCGATGAATTCATTGTCCAGTTCCAGGATGGGTCCAGCTGCAGCGCCGGCAGACCCCCTACTCCGATGATGCTTGAGCTTGCGTTTGGGTTACACCTGCAGTCCGAGCCTTTGTGTTGTCGATGCATCGAACGACACAACCTTTCGTTTCCGGTGCTAAGCTGTAAAAGATACGGATGGTATACTGTCAATTAGCCATAGTCCGTCTTGATGACGTGGTCGGATCCTCTTCCTGCGCGCCAAATTGATACTATGCCGTTTACGCTGTCAGTCAGGTAGTGAATCGAGCATTTCGACAATTGGCCTCCAAGCTTCTTAACCAGCAGATCGGCCCGATCCACCTCGTTCAGCGGACAGCTGTACGGATAGCATAGCAGATGTGAAACGTTGAACATGCGTGTTGGCAGCGACTTTGTATTATATGGTTAACCAAATGTTGGGCTCCATCGTCTGGTCTCGCAGCAGTTCCTCACGTTGAGACCTGCGCCGCAAGGTACTGCCTCCAACACCCAGGCCTTGTTCGCTGTTGGTTCTCATATGAGCCCTTCCTGGTCACCCATGACATCCACTTCCGCGTCACACGTGCCCGCGTCGTGACCTCTTGCAACTTCACCATGACCCGGCCTGTAGCCTACCATGCCATAAGATGTATCCTGAATAGAACCATCAAGCCTGTGGTGACGCTCAGTCAAGCGACTCACGACATCTCTGGTTCTCTACCAGTACAAATCGAAGCGATAATTGGTTTCATTGTCACTTATTGCTCTGCTCTACTCTATCCAGAGCAGTATGATCCCTTGGAGGTCTTTTCAGGGCGAAATCACTCATGCCCCAAACATGTCCAAGTATCCCTTTTCTGCAGGCCGCTCTTTCACAGGGCTAGGTTGTTGATCCTTCGCCATCGTCGCAATAAACTTTTTCATATCGATTCTGTTGTTGTCTCGCCACTGTTTTATTCTGTCAAAGTCGACACACTGCCTGTTGGTACTCATATCAGGGAAAGGGTATCGCTGCCTTTCTGTCCAATGCATTGTAACTAGCTCTGAAGAGATTATTAGCAACTTGAATGCTGGTCGACCGACTTTACATTGACATCCTCAAACCGGACAGGTCAGATTACTCACGAAGATTCCCAGAGCACTGTATAGCCTGCAACAGAATATCAACGCAGTGATTCGTATGCACCTCATGCGTAGTAAGGACCTCCAGGTCTGCGTTGGCAATTTTCATGTGGTAGTAATCCGCGTATGCGAATTTGCGCAACTGGTTTAAACAGTGTATCTGGTGGAACACGTCGAGCACCGCCGCATAAGCATCGTCACCCAGCCCCCAGACGGAGTTCTCCAGCTTCGCTGCCGTCGAGGGATCTTTGCCCAGCTCGCGAATACCTGCTGCAGTGACTGGCACGACGGTGGTAAGCTCCCAGTCGTCCCAGATGGCCTCATCTGCCGCGTTCGGCATGTGACGGGCTATGCTACCTCCATCGGGCCTGTCGGCAGGCCAAAATGTGCCGTTGGTAGTTGTTCTGTATGGGTTGAGATGGACCTCGTCGTAGAGAGGAGAAGGGCCGTTCACTCGACGGTAAACATCGTTTGGACTCGTAGATGTGATTGTGTATTGATGGTACCGTATGGCCACGAGGACTGTGGTGATTCCCGAAGCGATGATATTCAAGACGGTGAGGATGATGAAAAGATGGGGGAGACTTCTCCATGACCGCAACTTCTCTTCGCGGCGGACATGACTGGGTTGCATGAATGCTGTCCGTTCTGCTTCATCTTCTATAGACAGTCTCGTCGAAATCATACTGCTTAACAAAGTGAGTGCCCAAGTGAACAGACTGGAAATAAAGTGAAGATCGGTAGAGTCTCAGGGACTAATGGAAAGTCCTAGAACTTCAAAGTGACAAGGCAATAGGTGAGATAATGAGCTTATGCCTGGAAGCTGGCCCCTGAACGTAGGGAAATGCTATAGGAGTCTCTACGTATTGCTGTGGTTTTGGCTTCTTTAAAACGAAGTCTGCACTCGTCCTCAGCTGAGTCACTTGGGCTGTTAGATTCTCACCCACCAGCCGTCCACAACTAAACTTGTCAGCAGTGAAAACCTTGCAGACAAAATGTCGTCGTATCTTAATTCCTATTACATCGAAAAGACCGAGAAAAGCTCTCACACTGGCACAGCCCTAAGGCTTTTTCAGAGGCGCCTGTCGTACAAGGAATATCGTCTAGGCATCCAGATACTTCACAGGTACCTGCATGACTACACCCTCAAACAGAAATTCACGTGGTAATGTGTCACTTCAGACATGGCTCCACAATCAGGGCTGAGATCATCTTTGAAACACTACTGCTAAGCCCCTTGGGAGGAAGTGGCGTGCCTTGGATTTGCTCGCTTAGTAGAGGCCAATTGAGGATCGAAACTAACGCCTCGTAGGGCTGAACATGTGACTCAGGTATGTGTGTGTGTGTATGCCTTGTTTGTGGATGTAAGCGGAACAAATCAAATAACACTACTATCAATTGGAAATCTTCAACATTGTCGGTTCCCTCTGGTTATCACAAGATTACGGACTGCATCCACTATATCTCCACCTGTATGACTCAGATGGAAAGATGAATATTGCATTCTGCATAATTGCGTTCAGTGGGACATGCGAACCTGAACACTAGAAAGCCAGAAGACGATGAATGTGGCCCCCACGAGTCTGAACCTTCCGAGGAGGCCCTTGGTAGTACCATGTGCCCCCGTCCGGTCGCATACATGAAGCAAGTCAGTTGCAGAAAAGACGAAGGAAACTGAATAATTGAAGCGCGTGGCGGATTATGTGATTTTCTGTGCATAGCGCGAACATCTGGGGGCAGCCTAGACTGGGAAGGGCTCCGCTTTGCCTCGGACTGTCAGCCGCATCGACCCACAGAAGGATGCGAACTGCAGCGAAGGGGAAAGCCGTGATAGGCCAATGCGCGGAGTCATGTGCTGGGCCTCGATTTATATGTTCATTTCCGAGCTGTTGGGTTCGGAACGAGCATTCTCGGCCCGTAATGATCAAATGCTGACATGCCCAGCAAGCTTGGACAAGGACCACAAGTCTCATCGGGTGATATGCCTAGGATTCTTTTGGAAGTGAGAAGAGGGGGGAAAACTCTGACACCGTGCTGACAGCCACATGTTTCTGGCAAGAGGCTTTGCGCTCTGCGATCCTGCGATGTCTTGATGTTGTTTTACTCTCACGGCAGTGCCTCCTCGTCGGCGACCGCTCGGTGACGTGACCGAGATTCCTTAGGCTCCGGCCACTGCTGCCTACCCTCTGAGAGTGACTGGCCCCCACGGAAGTCACTGCCTCATTGAACACGGTTGGGAGGAGTGAGTCGACTGCTTCTCTTACACCCTAAGTGCTGTAGTACATCACAGGTACGGAGACATTAGCGAATCCCGCGTGGGATAACTCAGAACACGATCGAGGCAAAAGGTTTCCAGCTCCTGGGCGCAAGACACATATAAGTTAGGAGCTCCCGAGGATCGAGTTTTTGGAAACTTCTCCTCATCATCTTTATTGACCACCTCAATTATACTCGCAGGAGTTCGAACTCAACTACGCAAAGCACAACAAACCACTCAGATACCCTAGCTCTTCTCACATTGCATAAATGCTCTTCACAAGCCTTCTTACTCTGCTCACTTTCAGCGCCATGGGTATTCAACCTGGCGCCTCACATAGTAGGTTCTGGATGCCTCACGGCCGCAAAGGAAGTTGAGCTGACTGTGCCAAACAATATAGGCGTTATAACCTCAACCGAGTCGGACGACTGCTATATGCCGTGCGACGAACAAGGGGTTTGGATCGGACCTCGCAGCGATAATGTCGAGGATGCTGGTGCAGCGCTGAAGCGGTTTGAAGATGAGCTGGCCGAATTTGAGAGATTAGGTGAAGCGAGATGGGCGGCCACTGATAACAGTGCACATGTCAAGGTTAGTCTAATCCTTCAGTCGTGGTACCACAGGGCTGCAGAAGCTGATCAAATATTGTAAACAGACAGAAGACTTCCAAGATGGTGAAGCTAAAGCAAGAGCTAAAAAGACAGCGAGGCGGGCGGAACGACGGGCCCGGGAAGCTGGATTGGAGTCAGCTTAATGTACTAGAACTTCAAGGATAAAGATGTATTGCAGTGAAACTATGGCGGACGAGGAAATGGAATAAGTTCGATACATTTCATAGTATCATTATCAAATATTGGATTTAAACTTCGGATATATCTTCGACTTTCTTTAAATCATATTCATTATTCATGTATGAATGGATTTAAAGTCTGATGAAAGTGGTTGGAATCAACACTTTAGAAATCTGGATCAATATTGTAACATCAACATTATATTGTCTATATATTCATGCGTAGTGTATTCAATCACTTCGAGACCATCAATATTTGAATCCTGAAAGCATTGTGTTCACCTTCCATGATTGTTAAGAAGATCGAATTCCCTTCCCGAGTACACACGAGCCCTTCAACGAATGATCTCATATAAAAAAGTCATGTCTGCTCACTTAGTGCTCATATATGCAGGAGGCGGCGCTCTACTAAGTGCTTGCCAAATTTAACATGGCACGCGGCTAAGTGTCAAAGTGAGAAACATCAATGACAGCTGAGCAAAACATGCCAACGCAGTGAAGTACAAGCCTTCCTACTTGGTCGCGCGCGCTGGCAGTTAGCTGCTAATACGAGCCTTGGTTGCTTTTTGTGCTCTCAAGGGCGGTATCGTGATGGTCATCAAAGAAACATAACATATCATCACGAAGCCTCACAAAGTTTGGCATTAGAGGCCCAAGCTTCTATAGGTATATCGTGTCGCATTCAACCCCATAATCGTGCTACCAGCGAGAAGTATACCTGCACAGAGGAAAGAGTCAGAGATATTGCCTGGGGAAAGATATGTTATTCCAGAAAAAAGTTGATTTCACGTAGAAAGCATCTTATATAGGTATGCACATAAATGCACAGCAGAAGTGAGAAGAAAACCACTACCAATGATATCTGGGTAGCATAATGTCCCCTTTTTTCAATCCACCATAGCCGCTATTATATTTACCCTATTCAGAGTGCCGCATTCCATTTCTTGTCGAAACTGGCGAAGGTGCCAAGCTCCAGTAGCATGTATATCAACGGCGGCCCTACGGCAGATGATACATCGCTTTCCGTACTGGTGAGTCCCGCCGAGCCAACCGTGTTCATAGCCTCTTCATATGCTGCCGGGGTGGTACTGGCGCAGGCCTCCACGGTGCAGCTGCTAGTCAGTGAAGCGAGCTCGCTCGCAAGCTTCGCGTTGTGGCCGTTAGGGGCGTTCAGCTGGACCGACACGGGCACTAGTCAATTAAAGGAGAACAACGGAGCGATAGTGTCACGGCTCAAATCATTCAGGACCGATTTCCAATTGCTGGGAACTAACTCCAGATACGAAGGCTGGAGGCCGACCACGTTATAAAGTTCTAGAGCAATCCTTCTCGCACGTCAATTACTTACTAAATTGCCCATGGACGACGCAGGAGAGTTCGATCAACGCATCGGACACCGGTCTCACCTTCAGATTCTTGTTGGGGAAGTTGATGAACTACGTAGCTGAGACCAAGCTGACCTATTTGCCGCTATCTGGTATTATAAGTTCTCACCTCCTCTTCAGCGTTTTCTACTCAAAAGACTTCGTGGGCGAGGAATTTGAAGGGCAACAACTTCAAAGATTTATTGAAACTATGACTCTCTTGTAACATTTCTTGCACCTGGTACTCAGAAGGTATACTTACTCCTACTCCAAGATATATTTAACACGCGCCACGTGCTCGGCGGTTGAGGTGCACCGTATGGCCTGCGGTGGACACACCAAGGCTAGGGAGCATACCGTTCCGAAATTTGAGTGTATGGGCTACAGCTATCATCCGAAATATTAGAAGGCTCTCGAAGAACATCAAGATGACGCTGACCATTGAGAGCGGACTTGTCGACATCTTTTAAACGCGAAGAAGTGGTGCTTCCCGGTTTGGCACCGGCAATTTGTTCTTTATCAATACTTCCTTATCTACTTGGCAGCATATTATCGATCACAGTTCTTATCTCTCTACCCGTACAAGTAGCCTGTTTGACTTATCTTGGTCATTTCAGAGTCCCTTGACTGCAGTTACATCCATTATACGGACCGGGACCCGAACGATCGATGATCTGCTTCGCCAACAGAAGGAAGAACTAAAACTCAATCGATACTGTTCGGGTGAAATTTGTGATCACCCTATCTGATAATCTTGATTAATGCTCGGGTAGTCGTAACGATGACCCACATTGACAGAATTAATAGGCTTCCTGGCAATGGCCAAGATCAGGATAAGCGATATCGGTCCTCCTAACATAAGAATGAGGCTAGAAGATGTAAAAAGTCCCAACGCCGAGCCAAGTGCTGAAAACACTGCAAGCGGGCCATGGACGCTTCTATAAGAAAGCCTGCTCCATGTAGGATGTCCAGATTCTTAATCCGAGACACGCTTAGCTCTTCCAGTCAGAGATTTATCACTCAGTAGAATCAGCTATGCATTACTCACTCGGCCTGTTGCCCATGCTTGGAGGCTTGCATTCTTTCTCAGAGGCGAAGCCGCTGTACCAGCCCTCAGTGACCTTTCTCTCACCTTCGCAGATCAGCCCAGGAAGCGCCCAGAACATCGTTGTTGAGTATGATGGCGTGGTCAATGGTGAGCTTGCGATCACCTATGAAACATGTCACGAGGCTGTTGTCGTCTCGGATGCGAAGCAGCGCATCGGCGTAACTCACGTCGGCAACCACCCCCTAGCTGCGCGTCACATCGACCACGAGGGCAGGCGCCCAAACAAGTTCGTCTGGTTGACCCCCACCGACGCTTCCGGGGGTTGCCTCCGCGCTTTTCTTGATGGTGAACTCGTTGGACAGTCTGAGAAAATACCGGTTGCCAAACTCATGGCTCGACGAAGCGTGAAGAAGTCGTTTATGGAGGTCGCAGGAGACGACAGCATGTGGTTCGATGGTGTGGCCTATTTGCAGCAGAAGGAACCTGACGGAGCCTTTGTAGCAGCGGCAAAGAACAAGTCATTTGGTATCCTCGGCGCTGGTATGTCTGGATTGATGTCATCTGTAAGTCTTTGTTATGTACCCTTTCCCCATTTGATGTCTGCTCTTATGGACTAACCCTTGCTTTGATAGTTACTATTAGACTCCGTTGGAATACATAATTGGAAGATATTGGAGTCTTCCGAGCGTCTTGGTGGTCGCTTTAGGACGGTCTACCTGAACGGTAGTTCCCCCGAGGAAGGTCAGTATCACGAGCTTGGGCCAATGCGTTTCCCGGTCGAGATCACGGACTCCGAGACAAACGAGACATTCCCATTCAATGATCAGCGCATCATTTTCCAACTGGCCGACGTTCTCAACGAGCTCAACACCGGAAACGAAGCAGTCCAAGTCAAGTTCTGGAATTGGATTCAGAACTCTCCCAACACGCCCGTCGATACTCCGTTTCGACGTCCTGATGGGACCTTTCCTGGAAAGACTGAGGTGGCAACCGACCCTGCCTACTACAACCCCACCGTCTACCACAACGCCACCGCTGCATCGGAGGCCATCGCTGCTCTGGATAAGTTCAAGGGCCTCGACACGAAACGTATCCGCATGTATGCCAGTAACATCTTCGCTGCCTACAAGCAAGCTAAGGATGATGGTATGTTCGATTACTCCGAGGTCTCCTACCTCCGAGATGTGATCAAGACCGACCTGAATACCACTGATGAGGTTACACCGTCCCATATTTATTGGCCTATGTGGGAATACGAAACTGTCTACTTTCTCGCTAGCAAGTGGGTTACTGTCCAGGGCGGTCTCAGCAGGCTTCCTGCTGCCTTCGAGCCTTTGATGAAGGACAGAATCCAGTATGGTGCTAAAGTCAACGGTTTGCGCTACAATGAGGACAATAAGAGTCTTTCTGTCTCCTGGAAACCAACCGGGGCCGATCCCTTCGAGACCTCTGAAAGCATCGAGAACTTTGACTATGTACTCAACAGTGTCCCACTCAACTTGATGAAGTTTTGGGACATGCCCCCATACTCGAGCCTTTTGAAACGTGCCATCGATCGAACCCTGTTCGGCAATGCTGTTAAAGTGGCTGTTCAGTTTAAGACTCGATTTTGGGAGCACCTCGAGCGGCCTATCCTTGGCGGTTGCACCCGTCTCACCAAACCACAACTTGGCCAGGTTTGCTACCCCTCCTGGGACTTGAACGCTACCGGTCCCGGCACGTTACTGGCTTCTTACCTCTCCGATTACGAGGCCACTGTCGCGTGTGCTATGTCGGAGCAGGAGCACCTTGCCTACATTAAACGGGCGCTCACTCAAGTCCACGGCGATGTCGTTGAAGAGAACTGGACAGGCAATTACGCACGGCACTGCTGGGAGCAGGACCAACATCATGCCGGTGCTTTTACAATGCAGATCTTCTCACAGCAAGATCTCTACCTTCCTGCTTTCTATCAAACTCAGTTCAACACTATATTCATTGGTGAAGCGGCTACTTTCACGCATACTTGGACTTTTAGTGCTCTCGAAAGTGCTCTTAGGGGAACTGTTCAGCTGCTCCTAGACATGGGTCTCGTTGATGAGGCGAAGCAGATCACTAACACTTGGATGGCGCGCTTCATTGACATATAGACTAGTGACAATGAAAATGCTAGCCGAAGGACGCTTTACGTTCTTTTTGTACTAGAGAGTGATTAAGTGTCCGTATAGTTGCATAGTGCAACCTACCGTCGGGAAGGTAAATGCCCATATAGGCGCACACAGCCCACCAGGCCTTTATCTACTTCGGGCCCAGGTGCCCTGCAGCCCTTCGAGCTGCTCCCCGCTTGATAGACGGTAGCGTCAACTTAACTTCATTTGACGTGTTCAGAGCAGCTGCTGTTGTCCTGGAACTCAACCGCATGATTGTTATCATTGCAGGGCAGGTTCAGCCGGAATTGAGCTTACCAAACGGGCATGTCAACATTTCATTCGTGTTCGAACGCAGCTTAATATCGCGTGTCCGCGAGGGGTGGCATTTGCCGACCAGCTTCCCCATGGCACTCGATATTAGTGCTGACATACCCAGTCTGCGGGGCGGAGATGTAACACAAATGTGTAGGTGTGCGTCGGATTCGAAGTGCGAGGTTACATCAACTATGTTCAGATTCCGACGCAGGGTGACCGGCGAAATCAAAACCCGTTGGTACAAGTGTGAAACACGGCCTAATGTGAGCCAATGTCTCCATTCCCGTTATTCTCGCCTTGTGATAGAGGCCACATTCAACAATGTCTGTCCAAAAGGCTACGGCCAACCGGTACAACTTTCTCATAGTTTTCCTGGTCACCTTTGGCTCATTGACGTATGGCTACAACTCGGCAATCATTGGAGCCGTGCTGGGGCTCAATTCGTTCTTCAAGTACTTTGGAATCGATCTGTACGGCCCCAACGCCGCCGAAAGCTCCCGCATCACGGGTGCCACGAATGGTATATTTGCAGCTGGTGGACTCCTGGGCTGCATCTTCATGACTTGGATGGGCGATGCCTTTGGACGCAAGGTGGCAATACAGGTGACATCGGTGTTGTGCGCCATCGCGGGCATCATCCAGGCTGCGTCGGTACACATAGCAATGTTTCTCGTCGGACGATTCCTTATGGGAGTGGGCGTGGGCATGGTCAATGTCATCACACCGCTCTACCAGAGCGAAATCTCCCCAGCTCATCTGAGAGGGCGCATGGTGGGAACACACGGTTTCATACTTTGCGTTGGATATGTGAGTGAATATTTCTTCTTGAACGCTTCGCTCGCCAGCGGTCCTCCTACGTGTAACCCGCTGATGTATTCTCCAAGGCTCTGGCTGGATGGACGGGGTTTGGATGTTTCTACCTGTCGTCGCCGGACGCACAATGGCGTTTGTGTCTCGCGCTACAGGTTGTTCCACCTCTTTGCTTGCTCATCGGGTCATTCTGGCTCCCCGAGTCTCCACGATATCTCATGGCCAAAGATCGGTACGAGGAAGGGCTCCAAGTTCTGCGCGACCTGCACCGCCTGCCTGGTGGACAGGATGATATTCTGGCACGGGAAGAATTCTACCAGATCCGCCAGCAACTTGAGCTTGAGCGAGCAGATGGATGGAGACAAGGTTGGCTGAAAGGATGGATCTTATTGTTCCAGAGAAAATCGTGCCGGAAACGCCTTTTATTCGGGTTCCTCACGCTGTAAGTCATACAGGGACGTTATCGATAGAGAAGACTGGGCTAATTACCTATTCATAGTGCTCTTGTGCAGTCTACTGGCTGCCTGGTCATTAACAACTACCAGGTCCTCTTGTATAATGGTCTGGGTCTCTATGGCTCTCTGCCTCTCCTATTATATGCAGTCTGGGATAGCTGGGCCGCGTTCATGAATTACATGAACTCCTTGTGGCTTGACAAGTTTGGGCGGGTTTCTACCATGGTCATAGGGCAGGTATGAATTTCACATTATTCCGTCTGCTGCAATCAGACTTGACAATGAATAGATTGGCGGTGCCATCTCCATCGCTGGTTTCACAGCATGTTTGGCGAGGTATGGGAACACGGATAATAAAATCGGAAACGGGTTTGGCGTATTCTTTTTATATCTTTGTGAGTACCTGTGTCTTGTTCTCTGGCCCGCGATGGTATTGACGATTTCGTATAACAGTTGTCACCTTCTTCGCTGGCTCCATGGACGCCACTTCCTACGTATATGCCAGCGAGCTCTTTCCTACTTCTATTCGCACCCAAGGCGCCGGTTTTAGCATATCTGCGCTATTTTGCATGTCACTCATCTACACCATGTGCGCACCTGTCGCCTTCACCACTATCGGCTGGAGATACTACATTATATTCATCGTGCTGCCTCTTATTGGGGCGACCATAATGCACTTTTTATATCCAGAGACAAAAGGGCTAACACTGGAGGAAATTGGAAAGAAATTTGGAGATGATGTGGCCATCGATATGTCAGCCATGAATGAAGAGGAGAGGAGGCAGCTGGACATGCGCTTGGCTAAGGATGAACTTGAAAAGGTACCAGCTTAGATTGGATTCAGGGGCTAGAAGTAGAGTGTGAAGATGAGGATGGTGTCACTGACGTGACATCACTTCCGTTAGGTCTCGTTGGTACGTTTCTTTGCACAGAGAGGTGCTGCTCGAGTGCCGGACAGAGGAAGCGAATTTGAGGAAGTTTAGAGCTATTGACCAGCCAGAAAACAAAGTCATAAAGGGTTAGTTAGCTAGCTTTCAATTCAATTCTTCATCCCGCCTTTGTACCTTCCTAGCTCAAACAACGGTTGCTACGATGAATTTCATATTCCACGCTATTTATTTTAGGGAATACAGCATCTGGTTTGATGTCAGCGGTGAAAAACGGTGGTAGCCGATAGGGACGTTTTACAAATAGGGTCGAGAGAACCGTATCAGCTGCATCTAGGTACCTCATCTAAGCATTCTCCGCTTCCGAGAATGTGAACGATGCCGTCAGCATTTTCTCAGAAGCAAACGACGCTGGGCGGCGCCAGAAGATGCTGTCAGTGCATTTAGCCAACCAACACAGTGTTTTCTAGGCTATGCTGACATGTCTGCCGCAGTGGAGTCACATTGCCGGGCGTCATGACAGTGGGATTTTTCAGCTCATCTTGCATCCCACATTCTACATCACATAATGGAAATTAGCCAAACCTCACTGACTAGATCAAAGTGGCCGTGTCAAAAGAACCCGGCCAACACACTCCCTCGTCGCCGTATCATTAAGCCGTGAAATCGGCACGATCATGTCGGGAAGCATCTCACTTTGCTCATTTTGCCGTTCCATACCCCTCAATGTCGACACTCTAGAATGGCTCCGAAAAGAGGCTAGACCAAGATCCAAACTCGGAAGCTCGCGGCCTGTGCCTCTGGACAGGAGCCGGAAGACGGAGCTCGCCGTAGGCGGGAAAGCTGTCTTCGCACTGGGAAAAGCAGAAAGGGTGCTGAGCAGTGACTGTCCATTCTGCAAGATCACGGCCACAGCGGTGCGAGACATCAAAAGGACCACAGGATGGCATGCATTAAAGGCCGATACTCCCTTACAACTTACGTGGAGTCACGAGGGCCCAAGCTCCAAGGGCGTCTTCAGGGTTAACGACAGAGATGACATTTACATCTGCTTTGTTGAAGAGAACTGCAACAGCCCATCAAAAGAAAATTCACTTACGTCCCCTGCTTGTATGATCCGCCCGGCACCGGCCCATCTTGAACCGTCTAAAATCGCAAGATGGATCGCGGAATGCGAGAGACTCCACGGGCCGGAATGCAACGTTCACACCGGCATCACCGGCCCTATCAGAGACTTCTATCGCGGGTTGGAGCTCATGCGGTTTGTTGACGTCCAGAAAAAGTGTATCGTGGAGCTCAGGGAAGTCGTGAAGTACGTGGCCTTGAGTTATGTCTGGGGCGCGGCGGCTACTCTGCGTCTCACAACAATGAACCAGCAGCGGATGCGCACTCCTGGAATACTTTGGGACTTGGAGCTTCCAAACACGATCTGGGACGCTATTGATTTGACCAGGGCATGCGGCGAGCGGTACCTCTGGGTGGACGCACTGTGCATAGTGCAAAACGATGCCGAAGACCTTGAGGCAGGAACTTACGCGATGGACTTGATCTGTAAGTCAGCGATTTTATGACAAAATATTTCTTTCAGAAATCTCTAAAGTAGCTGGATCATGGGTTGTGAGATCGTTAAGCACCTTTTTAATTGATGGGCTTAGATGAGATGTCCGTCTTCACCATGGTTGCGGCTTCTGGTTATGATGCTGGGTACGGTCTGCCTGGCTTCAGAGTTGGTACGCGTCTCGCGCCGCCGTATGTTGAAGTTGCTCCAGGAGTACGTCTAGGCGTTTTGCCTGAGGTTGACACTCTACTTGGAGACTCGTGCTATGCCACCAGAGGCTGGACGTGAGTGTACACCGTGACTTTCAACATTGACTTGCATGTGCTGAACCTATACCCACAGTCTACAAGAAGAAATGCTCTCAAAGCGCAAACTTTACTTTGTCGATGATAGGATCTTCTTCCATTGCCCCCGCATGACCCTGTCCGAAGATTGTGCTGTATCGCTCCGGCGACTGCCCTACAATTTGTTGCGCATGTTAGAGCCTTTTCGAAACTACAAGCAATTAGTCAGAGACTACAGCTGCCGAGTTCTAACAAGACAAGATGATGCTTTCCGTGCAATGTCTGGAATCATACGCCGCATCTCAGAAAACCAACGGTGGAATATTATTTCGGGAATGCCGACACTGGCGCTTGAAAACATGATGTTATTCCGACGGAAATTTCATCCCCTTTCTCGACGTTCTGATTTCCCAAGCTACTCATGGCTAGGATGGAAAGGAGAGTTAGAATTCATGGAAGGAGTTTATTTCTTTGATGGGTGGATCAAGTGGTACGTTCGAGACCCAGCGACAGGCGAAATCTTCCCGATTGAACGTCGGCCGACGTCTCCCAAATTCGACAGGCAGCTGACAGGGATTGTGGCAACGGACGACATTGCCACCCAGAAACAACCGGATTTCGGGCTTCTTCCAGGTGTTCAGATGAATCTGGGGGGTCCCTCGGAGAGGAGGGCCATGCTGCACCCCCGCCCAACCTTCTCCCTACTGCTGTTTTCTACTTTGGCCGTCTTCTTCGAGCTGGACAGCGTGGACTACGTCAAGGGCAAAGCATCTATCATCAATCCTGGCAAATGTGACTCGGGAAATGTCAATGGCTATCTTGTTGGCACAGTCACCTTGGACGGTCTCAACGAATACCCAGCCCCTCGTGATGCGGAGTTCATCTTACTGAGCAAAACAATACCTTCAAACGACGATTTGGAGTCGTTAGAGATCAGTTCACGTAAAGAGATGTATGCCGTCATGCTCATTGAGTGGGTCCACGGGATGGCTGAACGGCGAGGCATTGGTTTCATAGATGCCGTCGAGTTCAAAGATAGTATGGCCCCGGGCCCAGTTTGGAAAGAGATAGTCCTTGGCTGAGTAGTGAGCTATAGAGACTAGTTTAGCTGGATTCTGCCCATTAAATATAGACCCAAATGGGTATGAGGCCAACCAAATGGTAGTAGCTAGCATTTGTGGCTTATGATCTCTGTCAGATGCTATTGTTGCTGGGGAGCCGCTTTACAAACTTCTCAGTCCGACGTGCAAAGTCCAGTATTGAGATTTAGGACACTTTCACAAGCGAGAATATGGGGGGGACAGAAAGACTGTTGGGTTTCAATGAAGCACCAATTCTTGTTGCACTTGGAGATCTAGATACAAATGACGTATTCGTCGAAAGTTAACTCGAGTCTCGTCGTTCGAATGTGCCAGTATATTGAGTCTCGAATTAACGATGGGTAGCTGCTTGCATTTCGCTGTTTGGATTGACTGTCCATAGCTTGGACCAAGGTTGAGAAATGCAACAGCAATAATTCGAGTTGCTATCCCTATGAATGAACGCTTTGTGCGCACATCAGTGCCGCCAGGTCCACAGGCAACAGGCTGCAATTGGTCGAGGACAAGGTAGACTGTCCGTCTCCCGACCGCCATGAGTCCTTTCGCAGAAAGAACAGAAGTTCAGTCACTCACAAACCTGGCAGCTCAGTAGCCACGGCCGCTGCCTCAGTCCTGGCCGTCTTGTGCTATACTGTGAGCGTATACTTGGCGGCGGGAAAAAGGATAATTCTAAGCTAGTGGAGATGTTACCCATGAAGACGACTGTACAGAAGATAAAAACAAGCACAAGAAACAGATTCCCGCGCCCTGTGACCATATTTGAAGATGTATTCTGGACTCTGTTACAAAACGATCCAAAATGTCAAAGAAGCCTGGCATTGCCAATCTGGACTGGAATGACTCAACGAAGAAAGCCTCAGATTGATTGTTCGATCGACGTACGTAATGCCGACAAGAATTCAATTTATCTATCCTTTGCAATAAATGAGGGCTTTGTCTGTTACACCGTGGTGGCATGTAGGGTTCTGCTGGTACTTTGCGACCAACCAAACAACACTCCTTCCCCCTGGTAGTAAGATTAAAGAAACAACAAAGCCATATGGGTCATCTATGAAATGAGCATTGGAGTTCGTGGCTGTTGGCATAGGCGATAATGTTTACTCAAGATCGTGGAAGATGTGAGTTGTCGCCCGGCAGTCAGGTGCGGATGGAGGTTAGCACCAGGGAAGGGGGCTCGTGGATCGCGCTTTTGAACCACATTTTTGAGAAAACCCAATTGAATGAATGAAGGGTGGAGCTTCGTTGTATTAAATGGAAGAACAAGATCGTCATGAACGATAAAATGAAAAGTTGATGCACTTCTTTCATTGTGATGACAAGAATTGGTTTCTCAACGTGCGGTATCTCTACTGAATATATATGTTTCAGTGCTCGTGGAGCACCCTGCGTTGAAGTTCAGCGAAGTTCCAACTGAGAAGATAATGAAATGTGATCAAACGAGATCCCTCCGCTCTTAAAGTTGCAGGCATGCGTAATCTCGCGACGCCTTTGCCTGGTACATTGCACACCTCACTCCAGACAAGCCGAAACTTATGGTGTACGGGCATCAAGGGACTGGAAAATTTTCAGGTCTATGAACAAACTGTGTTTGAATATTATGGGTATGATGTCATTGCACCTTGGTTCAATACCCGACGAATCCGCATGAATATTTCATTGCGAAACCACTAGTGGGAAGGAGAGATAGAGGTAGCAGCCCTCCAAGACGTTCTCAGGGCCGGGTTATCCAGGCATCGAATCAACAAGACGCATTCAGCACTGAAAAGCTTTCCTGCTTACGCAAGCTCGAATTGGTCATGCGATCGAATATCGCGTGTTGTGGGTGAGATCGGCATTGATGGCAGTCAAGGAATATGCTTCCATAGTTCCGGTACATTGGGCGAATCTGCTTCCTGGGCCCCTAGTTAACCTAAAAACATAACTTTACCGATTTTCTTCCCTTTTCTTACACTGTCGTTTCCATTCCGACTCCGAATCACGGCAGTGTTGTTTCTACGAGAGCCGACACAAGAGCAAACCAAGGTCGTCTTGCGCCGATGCAGCTTTTTCCGAAGCTAGTTCCCCAGAAAAGTATCGATGTGAAATTACGATTGGCGCCGATAGAATGAGTCTCACCGCCGTGAGTACCCCTCTCAAGCTCCTGCCTCTAAGGCCCTTCTTCCAGCGACTAGACATCTATTAGAACCAGCGGTTGGGGGAACTCCAATGAGGCTAAGAAAGGCAACAGTCAAGCATCATCCTCTTCGTACTCGCCGTCTTCCTCCCGCCGGCTGCAGTCTTGATCGCCAGAGGATGCGGAGCACACTTCTGCCTCAACATACTTCTCACTCTTCTGGGGTGGCTGCCCGGCCTGCTGCACGCGTGGTATGTCGTTGCCAGGCAGGACAGGATCGAGAGAATGCGGAGGTATGAGAATTATTACAATATGCAACGACGGCGGCCTGCCTATCGTTGAGCACGGTGAAAGTGGTTCCTGCAGGGTTATGAATAGCTTTCAAAGTCGGTGTTTAGGATCAATATAAGTTATACGGTACATTACCAGGAACCTATTTGCAGTAACTCTCTTTGAAATGATAGTCCCTGGACGAGGCTCACAACTTTTGATAAGCCAGGAAACAAAGGTACAAAGATTTGCTTGACCAGTTATCCATGGACTTCTGCAACCCGTGTTTGCGAACACTTCACATGAATTAATGATTCAATAATGTCCTTGAGTGAGAGCCTTTTTAGGATTGTTTTTTCTTGTTCGCTTTTCGATTTGATTACGGAATAGATACTGACGGCATCCTATCAGTAATTGATACTATCGATACTCAGAAGACCGTTCTTTATTCAAAAGCTCTGTATCCTCGTATGTATCTGCTGGGCTAATGGCGACTTCAGCGGTAGCGGTACTTCGTTTGTTTGTTTCCGTTCTCCTGCTCCAGGTGCTGATAATCCCGCAGCTGAGCCAGCAAGCTCGAACCAAAGGTCTATTCCTATTATCCGTGGCAGCCTCTTATCCCTCTCCATAAGCGGCGCACTCATTACATCGGGCTCAACTTTTGCATCATGAATGATTGGTGCGTATTTACTCAAGACCCCGCGGGACTATGGAGATTTTTTCTAATGATTCTAGCGTGTATCGTCTTGGTCATAAGCTTGTGCTTGAGAATATCATTGTCGTCATACATCGCTTTTCTTCCACGACCAGTTCAAAGCTCTCTTCTTATACCGGCTGGGAATTCCTCTGTAGATATGTGATTTCAGCGCAACGTGCACATAGTTCATTTCATTACTGTGTTTTGTAATTTTTATAAGCTTTCAGGATACATTTGAAGCAACAGTAAAGTACCCGGGCTCCGAAATTGAGCCTAAATTGATTGCTATGCCTAGATTGAACTTCACCGTGATATGCCGCGGGTGTCTCTCCTCAAATCAAAAGCGCACACATGTTTAGTTCTGACATGGCAGCTGCGCAATCTATAGAGCTCGTTTTCTGTTTGCTCCAACACTTCCTCAATATTTTCAGCACTGCTGCGCTGTTGCCAAATCTGCCCGAGTCACGTACCAGTTCAGTGAGTAGGTCCTCGAAGAAGGACTGAGCGCCACCGCTGGACATACTACCAATCACACATATTGCCCACACTAAACCCCTCGACGAGCAAGGGCCGCTCTGAATCGCTGTGATGCCCCTAGCTACGGCATCCTCGATCTCTGGCAAGGTCGGAATTGGCCCCGATACGACGATGTGGAGCAACACCAGGGCAGCAAGAGCAAAGACTCGCGACACCCAGCGAACCTGCGGATTCGATTCCATGACCTGACGGGAGAACGCTTGGTCAGTGGCAGATTTCTAATGGAGCCATGGTTCCTTTACCTCGGTCGTTGCGTCTATGCGCTTTATACCGTTCTCCAAATACACTTCCATCTCGTGAGCCCTGCTTGCTAATTCCCGCACGCTCAATGAACCTTTGCTCCTACTTTCGTCTTTCCATTGTTTCAATGAAGCTATGTCGCCAATCACAGCGAGAATCCAACTCTGGCAGCCCATAAGATTTGCTGTGTCTAGTCCGTCAACGCCGAGCCAGCACTTGTATGGCAGCTGCGGCGCTCTGCCAGTGGAAATGCAGGCGAGGATGTCAAACCAGAGCACGTTTACCACCAGGAACTCTAGGCCCTGGCGGACATGAAGTGCATCTGATACACAGCCGCTATCGTTGAAAACGTCTGTAGGAGTCCTTGAGCCTATGACGGATGTGACCGCGCTTAAATGTGGCTGCCAGTCATGCCCACCGCCCCTCAGGACCTGTCGACATCAAACTTAGATGTGCATCATGTATAATCGAAAGAAGTCCTACTGACCTCAAAGCTAATCAAGAATAAGCTGCACGCTAGAAACTCCATCAGTTTAAAATCATCTTCAAGGAGCTTGTAGGCGCATTGTTCCCTTAGAAATCCACAGAGTTCTTGCAAGGCTCTGGAATGATGGTCAACTGCTTTTTGGTTCACAGAAAATTTCTCCCCAGATTCGCCGCATGATGCACTTTTGTGAAGTGCAGCAAGGCTCAGAGTAGCGTGGTACAGAGGCCCATGCCCCATCAACAACGTTAGAAGCCAGCCACGATTGCCCAAGCGAGAGTGGGATAAATGGTACGGAAACTGCCAAGGAAACACCCTGTCCAGATAGTGCATCAGCAAGAGAGCCTCTTCAGGACTAAGCCTGGCTGTCTCGGTGCGGCCGAGCCGGCACGTTACATTGTCTGTAACGGCACAGTTGGATGAATTCTGCTGCTCGGACTCTACACCCTTTGGCACGGGGGCCGAGAGATCGATTGTACTTGTGTGAGGTCGTTCCGACGGTCCATCGCGAGGAGTATCCGAGACCGGCACTTGATGTGGCCCCTCAGATTGCAAATTGTCGTCGGGGCGAGCTCGAGCCTGTAACCTTCTTACGCGGCGAAAGTTCTCCTTGACCGCAATCTTGATGCGTGACCGTTCTTGTTCTTCTGGCGAGCCACCATTCATCCACGCAGGCTTCGGCCCGTAACCGTGGCATGGAATGCGCCTGTCGATGCATTCTTTGCAAAGCGGGGCTCTCAGATCACATTTGCGGTGCCGGATCTGGCAAGTCCAGCAACCGCGCGCTCTCGTCTTCATAGGTCTGACAATTGGTCTGGGAGTATTCGTATCCAGGGGTGTCTGACAATCAATCCGGACAGTTTTCGTAGAGGATCTAATATGGCACACATGAAAATCTCGTGTGCTTGACACGACGACTAGCGTAGGCAGCTTAAGAAGTGGAGACTGCCACAAGTGTGGAGGGAATGGAATGTCGAGCCTCCAGCGTGCCGCAGGTGGCTTAGCGTCAGGGATCAATACCTCGCGTAGCCCTGGTCAAGTATACCCATGACTATTCGGCACGACGTTCCATCTTCAAATGGTAATGCAAAGATATCATTGTTTGAGAACAATATTTCAAGTTGCTGCATACACTCTCTCCGACACAGTCAGGCCAGATCTACTAGAGAGAGATCTTGCCCTGGCTATGAAGAATTGTAGCAACCTGGGGCAGTTTGTCACAAGCCATAGCTCGGTCCGTTTTTGGACCAGACCCACTTCAGGAACGATTGTCATGGCCCTTCCAATCAAGCACGATAAGCTTGTGAAGGATGAGGAGTTTTAATTGAGTGTTCTCAAGGAGATGGGGCTTTTAGTGACGCCAGGGTCAACCTGCCCGGAGGTGGGAAGGACTTCAGGACTTCCTACAAGACAGAAGTCCTGATCCCTACTACCACGAGGATATCAATCCGTAGGGCTAGTCATATAGCTTTCAAGCTGCCTTCAAGTCTTTCGGTTGTGGGCTCTACCATAGGTTAAACAAAATTAAGTGCCTGGCATTTCCAAGTAATGCACAGGACGGACATAAGTGCTGTGCCTCTGCGAAACCCAACGATTGAAGGCAGTGGTCCCACAAACAGGCTTCTTCTTTATCACTCATGGTAAGCTACCCTACTATGGCTGAATGCACTCCAGAAAGCCCTCCTGTTCGATTAGGCACCTGACCATGTCGAGGTACCTTTTTCTCTCCGTGGTTGTTTGTGGGGAGACTGGCTTTTGCGAAATAAAACCTGTTCTGCAACCAATTCATCTACGACACTCCCACCGACCGGAATTTGTTCTTCTGCCGATTGTGATGAACCGCGATTGATATGTATTCAATGTTTGGTCTCAAAGCAAACTTGATTGATGATGTCCAGGCTGGGGTTAAACGCTGAGTCGAATTCAAGTTTGACGTCCGTCGTGTCGCTGCCAAAGGCCTTTCGTTGGTTGTTTCATTGTGGTGCACCATGATCAAGTAGTCAGTCGCGGCCAACAATGAGGCGAAAATAATGAAGAGCACCCCGTCTGTGCTCAAGTCCGAATATCCCGCAATGAGTCCTCTTAGGCGACTGTTGCCCTGGTGTTTGGTGTACAGAAGAGCAAGCTTTGGAGTCCGGAGTCATAGCGATTCCGACAAATCATATTCATTGTCTTCGTAGCCACATATCTAGGGCACTCAGACACTGTGAGCTTTCGAGGATATTTCATCTCTATAGGTTTCGTCCTGGAAGAGAGATGCGTTTGCAAGCGGCGTTTCTTGAATCCAGGAGTTGAAGGACGGTCATCTCGTTTTATCAAATTTCATTTTCGAACACAATTCACTGTATTTGATTCATGAATTTCTTTTGACGAGGACCATGACAGGGACACACGTTTCGTCACCCAATCGACACCGGGTTTCGGCTCGACCTTCCGCTCTGCCGTGCCTATAGCCCTACAGCAAGGGCACCCCAAACTGGGAAGGAAGGTCGAGCCGGCTCTACTTATCGCACACTATAGACTGGAAATGGACCACCATGATAGAGAATCGGTTCGCACATGAGTGTACACATTCTACCATATCTATATAAAGATGAGCAACATAACCCTTTGAAGGTCTCCTATATTCTGTTCATCAATTACTATTTCCTGCAATTTGAGATTCTCTTTTACCACTCAGAACCCCCCCCCCCCCCTTTCGCCTGAATAAAACATGGCGACCTCAGCAAAACTCAATCTGGTGGAGGCCAGCATCGCTGATCTTCAGAAGGCCCTGACGATGAGAGCAATATCTAGCGTTGAGCTTGTTTCCCTCTATTTACGTCGAATCGGTCGATATGACTGCCGTGGTCCCCGGCTTAACTCTGTCGTTGTTCTCAATCCACGCGTTTTTGAGGAAGCACAGGCGTCCGACGATTACCGCGCGCTCGGAAACAAACCACGGCCATTAGAAGGCATCCCTTTTACCGTCAAGGACAGTTTCCGAGTCAAGGGTCTCACAGTGGCAGCTGGATCCCCCGCCTTTGCGGACCTCATCTCGTCATCAGATGCAACGATCGTGGCGTTACTGCGTGCCGCCGGCGGGATAGTCTTAGGAAAGACAAATATGCCTCCCATGGCCGATGGTGGCAGTCAACGTGGGCTGTACGGGAGATCCGAAAGCCCTTATAATCCCACCTATATGAGCACAGCTTATGCATCCGGCTCCTCGAATGGCTGCGGAGTCGCTACAGCAGCTAATCTCGCTTCGTTCGGTTTTGCAGGCGAATCAGTCTCGTCCGGTCGCTCTCCAGCATCCAACAACGCGCTTGTTGCTTACACTTCGTCGCGTAGCATGATCCCAATCAGAGGACAATGGCCGCTCTACCCGACCTGCGATCTGGTTGTCCCCCACACAAAGTCGATGGGAGATTTGTTTGATGTCCTAAATGTAGTAGTTGCGGACGATCCCAAGGGGGTGGAACAGGACTTTTGGCGCTCACAAGAATGGTTACGTCTCCCGCTGGCTTCACACATACGGCCCAAAGATTACCACGCGTTGGCAAATCCCGATGCGCTCAGAGGGAAACGTATCGCCGTGCCCAGATGCTTCATCGGAAAACCGAGCATTGCTCCATTGCATGAGTGCTCAGCAGGAGTAAGGTCACTCTGGGATCGTGCCCGATCTGACCTGGAATCGTTGGGAGCCGTCATTGTCGAGACGGACTTTCCTCTGCTTGAAAAATATTCAAGACAGGACTTTCCTGGCCAGAGCGTAAATGTACCCGGGCTGACAAAAGAATGGGCCACCCTGGAGCGTTGTCATCTGATCGCCTTTAGCTGGGACGAGTTCCTGCGCACCAACGGAGACGAAAAATACCCGAGTCTCATAGCCGCCGATCCAAGCAAAATCCACCCCCACGTTGCTCCCATGGACGATCCAACTCAGTTCACCGAGACGCAGAATCACGTTCGCTACGAGGACATGTTCGAGGTTGTGCGTAGACGCCGAGGCGGCCTTACCGATCTACCTGGCTGTCGAGAGGCGCTTCTGGCCCTTGAAACAATGCGACAGAAAGACTTTGAAGGCTGGATGGATGAGCACGACTACCACGCTGTGGTCTTTCCGACTCATGGTGATGTTGCCCTGGCAGATGCTGATGAGAACTATGACTCGATGCTTCACGCGCTGCGAGACGGTGTCAAGTATGCTAATGGTGGGCGAGCCCTGAAACACCTCGGAATTCCGTGTATCACGGTCCCAATGGGAACTCTTGAGCAGAAGAGAATGCCAGTGGGCATTTCCTTTTGTGGCAGGGCTTACCAAGATTCGGACTTGCTTGCGTATGCTTTTGCCTACGAGTCTCTCACACAACGACGAGATAGTCCGCCATTGGCTCCACCGTTGCCTTCAGATGAAATATCCCTGATCCAGCCTGACTCTTCAACGCCATTCACCGTCAAACCAGTTTTGAAAGTTGAGTCAATCGAGGTTGCTAAAGAGGATGCTGGGTCAGATTATGAGTGTCGCTTGGTCAGTGCGAGTGGCACACTGACCTCTTCAAGTACTGCGCCAATTGAGCTGTCTTTGGATATTTTTACAAATGGGGATGTGTCTTGTCCGGTGACGTGGGAGGGACGCCGGTGGACATGGTCAGGCCGTTTAAGCCAGCCAAAGATTGCCGAAAGATATCCGACCCTTACAACTGTGCCCAGGGATCAATTCATGCTTATGTTCATTGGGAAGGCAGGAAATAAAAGGGCGTCAGGCTTGATGCACTTGGTTTGAAAAAAAATACTTCTAAGATAGATTGAAAATTCGAACGCGATCTGATGTATCGAATGTTGTTTATTCAACTAGTGGATTTAGCGATTACGGAGGTGATTTGTGCAAACCGCCGTTGTTTCACACATTATATAATCTAGGAGTTACGAAGGGGGCGGCAAAACCCCAAACGCTTTGACGACACCGTCTCCAAATGCTTCTTTTGCTCGTTTCAAAAACGTCATTCCCCGTGATTGTTTTTCCTCGTACGCATTCACGATTGCGAGAATCGTTTGGTAGTAGCTTTTTGTTGGTTACTATTAACATCACCCTTCTCTTGTGGTCTAATTCGGCCAGGCAGGCATGCACGCGCGGTTGTGTCTCCTTGCATCATCCTATCTTTTTGACTGTAGCAGCAAATACCGGACGCTGCTAGTAGTTTCGTGGGTGTTCAGGCCTTTGGGACCGTTGCTCCAGAAGAGGTCGAAGCCGGTCGGGAGAGACTGCCGACCCATCACGAAGAAGGTATCGCAACGTTGAAGACATTGCCAAAATGTTCACCCCTCTTTCAAGTATGAACGCCTGGTGGTGGTCCATCCTCGAGAACCATGTCTACGCCCTCCCGCCTTACCTATCTCGCAAGCGCACGAAGCCGATGCAAGTCCTCTGCGTCGGGCCACCCCGCTCCGGCACGGAATCTCTCCAGCAAGCGCTCCTCATGCTGGGCTACGAGCACACCTACCACGGCTGGGACATTGTCTACGAGGACCCTCCCATCCCGGCGCCGGGCTGGGTCAAGCTTGCCCGTAAGAAATGGTTTGGGGCGGATAATCCGAGACCGAACTCCGGGGACGTGACTATCTCGGCGGAGGAGTTTGACGAGCTAATCGGACACTGCGTGGCGGTCACGGACGCGGCGGCGAGCTGTTTTGCGCCGGAGCTGGTAAGGGCGTATCCCGAAGCCAAGGTGGTGTTAAATATAAGGCGGGACCTGGATAAGTGGCATGAGAGCGCAGTAAAGACGCTGGTGCATGTAAATGAGAGCTGGAGCTTTTGGGTGGCGAGTCTATTAGATCGAGAGGCGTTTTGGGCGTGGCATGTTTATGAGCGGTTTTTGTGGGCGTTGTTTTTTCGGGCGCCGGATGGGGATATGGCAGGGGCTATAAAGAGGAATGGGAAGTGGATTTACCGAGGTGAGTCTCTTCCTTTCCCATTCTTTCTTTCTGGTTCTCGCGCGATGTCTAGACTGCGGAACTGGTGCAAGTTGGAGATGGTTGGTGAGATTGAGACGCAAGCTGATGACGACAGAACATTGCGATATGATCCGTGGTATGGTGCCTCCCGAGAGACTGCTTGAGTGGTCTATTGACGACGGCTGGGAGCCGCTTTGCAAGTTTTTGGGAAAGGAGATTCCGAACGAACCGTTTCCTCATGCCAACGCGACGGGGCTGGGTGGTGGGTGGAAAGCGAGGGAGGAGATGGCGACGAGGAGGTGGGTTAAGGGGGCGTTGACGAACCTCATCTGGGCGGGCATCTTTTTTTGGGGGGCGGGGATTGCTTGGATGAAGTATGGAAGATGAGAGATTTTGGACTTTGAGTGGTCGAATCGTGGTGATGGAAGACAACGGGACGGTTCGGTTGTAGGAGATGATGGTACTACATCCACATTTGCACTGCATCGATTCAGACGCCCCCGGCTCGTGTCGACCCGGGAAGTCGGATTCCCCGGGCTAGGAATAGCCTGCTGAATTGCGGTGTAGTTCTAACTTTTAATGGGCTAATTTCAGACTGTTGTGTTCCTCTAGCGCCAATGCCACAGGAGCACGCCCTCCTCGAGCAATATGAGGCCGAGTGGTCTGGGCTGTGCCGTAAGGCTGCAGGATCTACAGGTGGCACGGATTGCAAGCCCCTCTCTTCAGAATGCCGTGCTGCGTGCAGCTGCTCGATGAGTTGCCTTCCACTACAAAAGATCAGAAACTCTTCAGGCTAGCAGAAACTTGCACGGGACTTTTTGATATATCCTAGACTATGGAAAGTTATTTCGCGTCGTCTGACTGGCCTTCAGTTGACCCGGCAGCAGAGAGGCATGAAAACCATCAGATCGCCGACTCCATCGCCCGGCCTCGGAAGCAGAACCGATTGGCACAGTTCCGGTTACATTGTACGTTGGTCCAGATCCAACTCGCATTGTACTTTTGCCTTGTGGCACAGCTTGTTGGTTTGCTCTTCAGCCGGAGCACATTTCACACCCTTCACCTCACTGCCCTCACTCCTCTGAGAATTCCATAATAGAGACCATGGCGCCATCAGTGATTCGGAAAAAGTCGGTCTTAATCACAGGCTGCAGTACCGGCAGTATCGGCTGGGCTCTCACGAAGGTGTTCCTTGAGCATGATTTTCGCGTCTTTGCGGGGGTGCGCAGTCGCTCCAAAGCCCAAGACCTGGCAGAGCTTAGCAACGTGGACCTCGTCGAGCTTGATGTGACCGTGGCCCAGACTATTTCCCAGTGTAAAGAGATGGTTGCGAAGGGTACTAACGGGAAACTTGATGTCCTTGTGGGTAGTCCTATCACATATGCATGCCTCGCATCTCAAATGAGACAGCTCTCTGGTCACTTCTAACGGTCACCAGATCAACTGCGCCGGGATCGAGGGGGTCTGTCCACTCCTAGATGTGGAAATGGAATGGGCAAAGCAGGTTTACGACGTCAACGTCTGGGGCCCTCTTGCAGTTACTCAGGCTTTTGCCCCCCTCGTCATCGAGTCAAAGGGTATTATTGCCAACTTGAGCTCTATCGGTGGCAAGATCCCGATGTGCTGGGCCGGTACTTTACTCCCCCAAGCTTTCCGCAATCGCAGAACAAAGTGGTGACCTGACTGGATGACCAGGTATCTATTCCAGCTCCAAGGCTGCAATCGCGCAGATGTCGGATACACTACGGATTGAGATGGAACCGCTGGGCGTACGTGTCGTAACGGTGATGGTCGAGTCCGCCAGTACAACCATATTCGACAAACCCGGCGGCCAGCTCCAGTTGCCCGAGACTTCGTACTACAGGTATCCTGGTATTGAAGAGATGGCGAACAAGCAACGATCCGAGCACAAGAATTCATGCATGTCTGTCGACAAGCTCGCTCCAGAGCTAGTGAAGGGCATTCTCAGTGGGACAAAAGATCCTCTCTGGGCTGGAACATTTGCTACTGCGGTGCGCTTGGGAACTTGGGCATACCCCGGGTGGTTCATGGATTGGTCTTGCAACATGGGCAGAGGCCTGGAAAAGGTTAAGGATGGGAGAATCTGAGGTATTTAAAGCTGGACAATCAGAACAAAGACATGCTTGATCCAGTCTCCCATTCCCTTCTGCTCCACCCGAGGAAGACTGTGGACTTTAGAAACACAGCTCACGTAGGTACCATTCACAGTCTATCACCTGGATGCTCAATCCAAAAATACCTAGATTATCCGTTTACACAATGTATGAGCTCTGGTGGATCTTGCCGGAGCAGTCGTTCTTCAGACTAGTTTAATCCTCAGCACCAAAAAGAGGTATACGTATGTATCAATCTGAACAAAGTCTCATGATTGCAGACTGCCTGCCAAGTGGCTGTAACATCCTGAAGCTCTGAAAACTCCACTAGTTTTGAACCCCCTTATAGCGATTAGCAATGAGCATAACTGTCAACGGTGCTATAGCTGCAATGGCGAATAGGTCCCGAGCACAGCCCGAGGTCATGGGTGTGACAGCCTGCAACCTCGACAAGGCATGGCGTGATGAGTGAGACGAAGGCCCCGGAGAACAAGCCGAAGAACATGGCGAAGAAGATGAGGCCGCCGACTGAGCGGGGCTAATCGATAGGAAACCGAATTGCCCAGACGATGAGCCGGGAAAGAAAAGCACAGACGATCATCGCCCGCATGTAGCCGTTGCAGTCAGAGTAGAGGAGCAAAAGAAGAAGGATGCAGCACTAATAGGAATGAGAGTCAATACCTGAGACGGGCCAAAGGCGTGCAAGGCAATCATGATGCATTCAAAGACGGAGTCTTTTCAATGTGGAGGAGACTCCACTTGAGTATAGATACTGCGTGAGGGCCAATATAATAGGTGTTCTGATCTTGTTCGGCGAATAAAGGAAGGTAGTTGGACGGTCTAAAGAGACCTTCAAAGAAGAGGAGCAAGCCCCTGATGAAGAAGAGATACGAAAGCTTTTTGAAAGCGGGAATATTAAAAATCTTGCGGCGTGCTGCCCAGCCTTTGGTTGCCATCAGCGTCACAACTAGGACGTTGGCAATTCCCAACAAGACTGCGACCATGCGCGTAGTCCACCGCAATGTGGCGTCGAAGCCGGCCTCTTTCGAGATTTAGGCAAAAAGGATAACAAAGATGAGAGTCATTGCATTTTTTTTTGCATATACCTTTATTTTTTCTGACTTAATTAAACATTTTACTTTTAGTTATTTTAATTATAGAAATTTAAATTTAACTGTTTTAATTTTTAAAAGAGAGAAAATATTAATAAGTATTTTAAGTTAAATAACGCTGAATAAAGATGTGTTTAGCAAGCCTACGTTCCCTTCTTACTCTTCTTGCTCCTTTGTTTCCCCCTGAAAGTAGGCAATCTCACTGCGTGTTTCTTTTCATATCTTCTCGTTTCGCCGTCCCTCATTTTCCCATTCTTTTCCCGCCCTTATTTCTAAAGTCATCATCCTATATCAGCATGGATCACAGCTTTACGAGATGCTTATCAGCAGCTTCGCTGTCGCTTCCCATACCCATAAATGTGTTCCGTCTGAGGCGCGGCAAGGGCACTTGGCAGGTGCTTCTGCTCAGCCCATCTATACAGCCAATCGATAACGGCGTAGCCCACAACAGAGAAGAACGCAACAAGAACCGTGCTAACAATGAGCTGGGTCGTGCCTGCATCGATCACGCTGAACAGACTGACGACGAAGCCAGCCGGGGTGAGAACAAAAGCCAGGATGGTGAGGATGCCTAGCCTGGCGTCGGTCCGGGCAGCCACCGTGTT